TTTTATTTTATATTTCTAAATTGTGAATTTTCATTTCTATGTAGCAACATTCCAGTAGCGCCTGCATACGGAGTATATATCTGTTCCAGTTGATACGATGTTCCAGGACTTGTATTTCCTATTATGATTTCCTTGATAGAGGGTTGCTCTCAAGGAAACTATCAAACCAAAAGTTCCAAGTGGTGAAGTTGAAATCATCCCTTCATAAATTTTACTGACGCCATTACGAGTTGGTTGACCATTGTGAAATATCTGTTTCACAGAAGACGACGGATATGTTCCAATTGTCGTTACCACAATCCCGTCCTCTTTTCCCTAAATATGACCTACCGAATTAGACTTATCACCGGGTTTGTACCTCTTTTAGCAACACAACTGGTGCTACATCTGCTCAACCTTTCTAAGCACCTGAGATGACTCCCGGTTTTTGAAGGGGTTCGTGTTGCACGGTCTTTACTTTTCAATGTTGTGTTTTATGTACTGTTATTTGTCTTTTGGTCCTTTTCTTTCTTTTGTCATGGCGTTGTCAGTTTATTTTCGAGTTATGAGTTTGAATGTCCCGTTGGTATCATTCTCCATATGTCACAAGTCCTATTATAATGCCGTCGAAATTTGTAATGAGTATTACCGTATCCGACTTAAGCTATAAAAGGCCCTGACATTGCAAAATGTAAAACAATGCAAATGAGAAAACCAACGGCCTGATTTATACATATATACCCAACATATTTATTATTTATGTTTTTTTCATGTATTATTTTGTATACAGTTTGTTCTTTTGTGTTGTTCTGTTGCACCACTGCCCCACTCTTGTGAGGGTTGGGCGTCCGCTAACATGTTTAACCCCGTCACATTCTGCCAGTGCCTGTCCCAAGTACCTCCCAAGTCAGGAGCCTGTAATTCAGCAGTTGTCGTCTGTTGCAGTAATGGTATATATAATATGTTTTTCGTTTGTTGTTTTGTACTTTTGAATTGTTTTACATTTTCGTTTCGACGCCTTTTATAGCGTGCTATACAGTATGGATTTTGCTCTTTGCTGAAGGCCGTATGGTGACCCGTAGTTGTTAACTTCTACATTATTTGGTCTATAGTGGAGAGTTGTCTCATTGGCAATCATACCACATCTTCTTATTTCTATATAGATCAATATTTCTCGTTTCACTCATAATATCTGCCCTTCGCAAAAACAACAAACTTGACGCTTATTTTATATGTTCTCATCCGAAATGTACGCATGAAATATCTACCACTGGACGCCAACCAAACAACAATCAATCTTTCGCACCTCTCCATTCTAATAAAATTGTACAAAGTGTTATTTTCATATTGCTTTCAAAATAAAGGTCGAGCCTTTTTTTGTTCATATTTTTACTGAAGCGAAGATTTGATTAAGACGTTATTTCTACATTTTTTCAAAAGTATAAATTCGGAACTTTCAAAACCGTGACCTTTCACTAATGCGACACCATTTATGTCTAATCTTTAGTGAAATAGACATGAATTATTACATTGAAAGGGGGGGGGGGGGGGGGGAAACGGCATAAAAGAACCGCTTTGGTTTAATCAATCATTATTACAGACCTTCCTGCAATAATCGAAGATAAATAACAACATTACTTAAGCTTTTCCATTGATATATTCGTTCTGAGTAAACTGTGTTTCAAGGTATTGGTGACCCTATAGGCACTTGTATCTGGAAAAAATTACTTTGTATTACCAAAGTAAAACTACAACCAAAATATCCCAATTTACGATATATGTCTGATATAACTATATTAAGGTATATATTTTGTTAGAGACAAGTGCCTGTGGGTGACCCGTGTACTCATTTTTTTTTAACAAAATCCACAGAAGACGAAAGGAAATAAGAAAGAAAGTAAGAATGATCAACATAATATATTGATTACAGTAAGACCTATATGTACGAAATGTATTAATCAATAGCTTAATAGTGCAAAGAAGTAATAAATGGTGTCTTATTAGGTGAAATTAGCAGCAGCGTAGAGATCGAAAATGTCTGTTTTCGATGTTAATCATCTTTATACCGCATTGGAGTTCTTACACACTGTTTTGTGGCAGATTCAGAACGACTCCTGGTCATCATTCCAGAATATTCTTTAGTTGGTGTGGTTAAATCGTCAATACTATTTCTTCCTTGCTTTACTGCGTTGTTTGAAACATCCTGGTTGCGAACTGTGATAAATAATGTCACTAACGCTGCAAGTGCAACTGTCATCAATTGAAACCCCTGGCAAGGTTCCTCAAAATCGATGTCTAAAAATCCAAGTTTGAAAACACAAGCAATCTTTGTTTGAAAAGGAAACCACATGTGATACAAGAAAGCTACCGGTGCACACATTGTTATAATCATTTTGGCAATAAACCTCGTTCTTCTAAATCTCAAAAAACTAAGCCATCTGAAGTTTTCCAAAACGTAGTTATGTAACAGTAAATAAAGTATGGCCACTATCATGAATCTTGTGTTCAGCTGTCCAATATACGCTGTCTGGTTGTTTTTCTTATATAGCACAAAAATGCAGGACCATATAAACACACACAAATGCCATACACTTCCTACCCTTTTCACTGCATCCTGAATCTCCGAACCAATAGTTGAAATAGCAGTATGCAAAACACTAAATTTATACAAAGTCCCAATCATCTTGATAAGAGGTAATCAGTTTGTCTTGTCCATTTCGTTGTTTGAATACAGTGACATGACGTCACACAAGAAAAAAAATAGGCGCTAACGTCTTTGACGTCCATCCGAGGGCAAGTTTGCCGCAATATATACATTAAATTATCTGACATTCAACATAATTTTCAGGATTTCAAATTTACGTATAAACTTATTCACATTTTGTGTACATTCACAAGATAACTCATTGGATACTAGAGGATCACGAAAAAAATTGTATAAGACTCCAACTGAACTGTTCTAAGAGGGTAGGAATGGGGTACCCCACATGACGAATGACGGTAAATTAGTTGTTAAAATAACGTTAACGATAAACAGTTTACTCCATTTGACGCTAACGATAGCTATATACAAAATGAGATTTGACGAATGACGATTAAAAAAAATGGGCTCATATGACGCTAATAGTAGCTTAAAACGGACGTTTGACGCTTGACAACAAAGGGCATTCCTACCCTCTTCTAATACTTACTTGTTACTTGTCTTTTATCTATTTGTTTGATTATTGATTCCCAGAGGGGGTATTAAATAACGATTTTGTTCCTCTTATATGAAACCGTCTCGGTACTTACCATATCATATTCAATTTGGACGTCTTTGTGTTTCCTTCCTTTTTTTCAAACTTGTCACATTCCGAGACAAGGCTCCTACAATAGGTATGAGCGTAAGCGTAAAGTATCCTGAAACATGTGTGCTGTGTACATGGACTTCAACATTAAAGTTACTGTTAAAATATAATACCAACACACTGAGACTGGGAGAGACCACTTGACGTGTTATATTTAGTAAGTCTTATAAAAATGCAACAAAATGAAAATTAGGAAATAAATAAATATGACAGAGGTTAAAAAAATTTGTTCCTGTATTTTATTGAAATAAAAACGTTTTTAATATCAAGTAAAAAAAATTGTCTCCAGAACACCACACATCCAACACACTCAAGTGATAAATGGTCGGTGCCGAAGTCATTCTGCAAGAATGTAGGACAGCGAGTTAGTTTTGAGATTTCGCAGGGCCTTGTATACACTGTTTTACTTTCTCCTATGTCTCTCCTCTGGTCAGTTTTAGTTCATTCTCCTAATCGAACTCACGGTGAGAGTTTTGTCATAACCTTTAACTGCATTAGACATATATCCATGTCGATACCTGTTACCTGTCTGGTAGGTTCACCCTTTCTAAGGGTCACTCCCAATGGGATTTATTTAGGTTAGTATTAAATATGTACATTATTTACAGTTGTACATTTAAACTTTTTAAAATATCAATACCTGTACAGTAACACCATAAACCAAGAAACTCCTACTTTCACTTGATAGACTGATATAGTTCATAAAGAATAGTTTAACTCTTATTCATCAGGGTTGTCCGTTTTGTATGTAGACCATAGCATAATGTTCGTGTGATATTCTCAATGTCTCTGATATTTTGATGTTTGATGTTAAACTACAACTAACTATTTGCTTGATCTTTTCAGGTGATGAGTCCATAATAAACTGCACCATGAGTCCTTCATCCACAATTTTATCAAATATCTCGTTGCCTATGTTGTTGATCACGTATGATTTTAGTGTTGTTAAATGTTTATCTCTTTCGGTTTTCAGTGCATATCACAACAAATGTTCTTCATAACTGACACTAAACATATTTTTTACCCAATTTTTTTAAGACAAGTTTTGCCGGGTTGGACATTTCTTGCATAAACACTGAAGATTTGACATTGTAGGATTCCTGTAGTAACGGAGTAGAAACCAATTAAACTATTCGTATTCTAATCAGTATGTAGTTAATAAAAGCTTTAAAGTCGAAAGTTTTAAAATTAGCAGCCAAAGTTTTCTATCAACGATCACAGAATGTAGTGAACATATATTTTTTTATCGATTATACGTTATAAATTTGTAATGAATGTTAAAAAAAGTGCACAGATGTTTAAGTTTATTATATATGTATGCATTGGTCCAATAATTGCATTAACATTATTATTACAAGAAACTAGTTTCAGATTACTTAAATTTGTTCATCTGCACAAGGACTGGGACTATTATACTTTTATAAGTATTTGTATTGTAAAATTCTTCTTCTTCTTTCGTTATCAAACACACGTTGTATAATTAAGCACTGAATTTTTTAGTGCTATTTTTATTTGATGAATTGATGTCAAGAAGCCATGCCATACAACATATATAATCAACCTGCTTGATTGAATATTGTAAAACTACGAAGAATAATTAATCATAATTCCGGAGAAAATATCGTTTCCTTTTTGGAGTTTCTATCAGATCTTATATCAGCATTATCACTTCCGGTTATTTTCATCATGTTGTAAAAATGTTGTTTTTAGCGATTTGTGGATAAACTATGTAAACGTGACATAACAGATCAATGGGAGCCGAAACAAGTTCTTTAGAAGAGTGTTCCCTTGAACCCCCTGTAATCCCTGGTTCAGAGACTGAATGGGAAGTCCGACATGGTATCACGTTTGAGAACGACACACCAATAACAGTTTTTAGTGAGAGATCCAAGAAAAAGGACAACTTGAGAGTATTTGAAAGAAATATAAAAGTAATTGAAATTTTTGTACATGTGTTTGAAACTCCTCTCGGGTTGAACAAAAACCTGGAAGGGGAAATAAGTTACTATAATTATCGATATGAAAATCTTTTAGAAAAATGAGAAATATGAGGCAGGTGCTAAAGGATGAGCTCCAGAAGGTTATTGGTTTTTTAACAAGCGGATTTTGTATGGTTGATTTACTAGTCATTATACTTTTTGTGAATCAGACATACAAAATTGTTGGATATGGTATGTCCCTTGGTGGTGTTTAGGATACAAATTTGTTGGAAATCGTATGCTCCTTTATGATGTTTTACATAAAAAAAAGACCAGAAAAAATTTTAATCACTGCCATTTTGTTGGAGGTTTTAAGGGCCATAGTATATGTACATGAAATACATATGTCAAAAACGAGTTGAAACTAATTGGTGCACTGTATTGTGTATACAATTTTCAAAGAGACATGTTCAAACCATCAACACTTCAAACAAAGCATTTTATGACTTTAATTTGTCCTTAAAAAATTGGTTCATAAATTAAACTATCAAAATTTCAAAAACTTCCCTTTCTAAACTGTTCCCTCCCTCAGCTTATTACTGACGACCCTTGTTTTGACTGTAAAGTTTAAGACTACATCCAAGTATTAAGGAATGAAGAAACAGATATTTAAAAAATGTTAAAGGGAGATAATTTTATTTATCTCAATTGAGATACATGTAAAATAGTCCAGTCAAGCTACAAAAGCTCAAACTGTAGATATATATATACATGTATACTGAACCAGCTGTTTGTCATTGTCCATATTTACATACAAACAAATGAAATGCAGTTAACTCATTAATAAGGGGACAAAGTCCCCTATAACAGTAGAAAAATCAAAAAAAAAAAAAAAAAAAAAAAAAAAATCGGGAAAATTTCCCGAAATTTTCATTGTACTAATGAACTCAAAATCGTTAACTTTTTTTTTGTAACTTTTTTTAATTCCCGCATTTGCCCAGAAATCTACTTCCTTCTTCCGGTCTCGTTTGTCATGAGACTGAGTGAAATATATATTTATCAGTCCAGTAAAATATAGGAAGGAACACAATAACAATTTCATTTCTAATTATTCTTTGATATGAAAAAACGTTACCTGATGATAGCATTTCTTTGTTTACATTGAATATGACGTCATAACTAAAATAACGTCACAACTAAAATCCCTAACAACAGAACCAAAATCGGAAACGTTACGGTATTTCCGTTTCCTTTTTAACAGATTTAGAACTTAAAATATGTTTGAATTAAAAAAAAATAATTTATATAGACTTCGTCCCCTTTCACAGGTAATGCCTGCCTCATATTATAAAAATAATAAGATTTGGTATGATTGCCAATGAGACATCTTTCTACCAGAGACCAAATGATATATAGCTATACATTCTGACCGAAGCACCTACCAGTACATTGTACAAATGAGGGGTAAAAAATCTTATTTGAATTATGACTTAATGTTAGAAAAGTACATGTACATTTATATTTTGCTTGAACTCCTAACTTACAATTTTCAAAAAAAGACAAAAAAAAATGAATAAAAAATTATATATATCAAGGCAAATAATAACTCCTACATGTAGTAAATCTTACTTTATAGTCAGAAAATAACATAAAAACAGACAGCAAGATTCATATAATGAGAAGCAAAATATTACTGTGAAACATGGTCTTTGTAACCAGACACTAGATATATATCTCTTAATCTGTATTACATATAAGAGGGTCTTGATGGTGTACTTCATTTTTGTATCCTTTAATTTTTAGGCCATTTTTCTCTATTCCTCATGCTTTTTAGTCATTATTCTCTATTTATATTTTAGCACCTCATTATTCTCTATTCTTTATTTTTTTCATCCTTTTTTCTCTTTTCTTTTTATTTTTGCCGTCCATTATTCTCTATTATGTAAACCCCCATCCACACCCTCATATAATATTGTGATAGTGTTGTGTACAAATACATGTTAGTGTCTGCCACAAGAAATGGTCTACATAAATGAATATTTAACTTTCAGTTTTTGAAGAGTGTTCGTCATCCAAATATCCTTCATTACATCAGAGATGGAAAGAATGAGGATCGTTTCCTTGTTACAGAAAGAGCAACACCATTGTCACTTGTTCTTGGAGATTTATCGTCCATGGAAGTTGCCTCTGGCATTTGCAATATAATTTCAGCATTGTCGTTTCTTCATGATAAGGTTAGTATTTAGGAAGAATTGTAAATTATACCTAGTAAATTATAAACAGCAGATTCAATGCAATGAACCATTTTTTGAGTTGTTAAAAAAAATATGAATTGCCTTTAAATGCATGTATAGTGTAATAACTTTACAAATTTTGTAAAAAAGAGCTTGAAATACAAATGAAATAGGTTTTCAGTCGTCTGGGTCAGAAAATATTTTTTTCATACCAAACTAGAATATCATATTATTTTTATCATTTCAAAAAATCCTGATTAAAAACAAAGGAAAACATATGTTATAGCTTCCAATAATGTAAAATACAAATGAAGTTCTACATGTAAATGAAATGAAATACATGTAATGGCCAACTGGGAATTTAGAGTACATGAAATAAAAACATGTCCTACTAAGTGTGGATTTGCGTCGTACTGAGTGTGGATTTGCATGGTGGATGCATGCATAGATGGAGGTACTTACCCTGTTGACGCACACAGTCTCACTCCTTCTTAGAGTTCATACAAATCCATAAGTTTTTGTTTGTTACCTTGATTTGTAGCTTCTTTATCGATTTTGGGAATTTGAATATCTGTAATTTATTGCTGCATAAACTCAAAATGACCTCAGATCTAAGATGTATAAATGATAATAATGATTACAAGTTTATGGAATTTATTTTCAGGCTAATATTTGTCACAACAATATCTGTGCTGATGCAGTTTATGTCACTGAGAATGGACATTGGAAACTTGGTGGCTTTGAATGTTCCTGTCGTTTTATAGAAGCTTCCCCAGAGTTCTTAAAAAGTGTTGAAAAATTTAGAAATGAAAATAGCATAGTCCCTGAAGAAAGGGTAAGTAGTCAAAATTATAGAATCAGCACATGGTGAAAAAAAAACAAGAAATGAAAGGTATAGAATTTTGGGTCCAATTTGTCAACTAAATTTGAATAGTTTCGATTTATTGTTATTAGGTCTCAATTCCTGTTTGGTCATCCGTTGCCATCATTTAAAAAAAAAAACACTGGACCAATTTCAAACAAACATTGGCTTTACAAATTTTGTCAAAACTAGTCAAAACATTTACTAAATTTTATCATCGGTATAAGGACATCATTCATAAATATAGCTCAACATGCAGACTTCTTATACGTTCAGGTATTTCACATCCAATTTTTTATGGAAATATTCTTTATAAAGCACAAAAATGTCAGTATTCACCTCTGAAACTAACAAAACCTTTAAATAGACTTATCAAGAAGGGATATAGTTACGATACTGTTGTCAGGTCATTAAAGATTGCATATTTTGGCGTTAATATTGATTCACTTATAGGGTCTTTGCATCGGCACTAAACACATTTATTTAAAAACCAGTTGTTGGCATGACACGGGTTATGTTCTTCTCATATATGTTATGATGGTATGATACTAAACCCCTAACGGGAAGGATTGTGCCTGATATTCATATGATGAAGACATAATCTTTCAATCAGTTTAATTGAAGTCTGGAGCTGGCATGTCAGTTAACTGCTAGTAGTCTGTTGTTATTTATGTATTATTGTCATTTTGTTTATTTTCTTTGGTTACATCTTCTGACATCAGACTCGGACTTCTCTTGAACTGAATTTTAATGTGCGTATTGTTATGCGTTTACTTTTCTACATTGGCTAGAGGTATAGGGGGAGGGTTGAGATCTCATAAACATGTTTAACCCCGCCGCATTTTTGCGCCTGTCCCAAGTCAGGAGCCTCTAGCCTTTGTTAGTCTTGTATTATTTTTAATTTTAGTTTCTTGTGTACAATTTGGAGTTTAGTATGGCGTTCATTATCACTGAACTAGTATATATATTTGTTTAGGGGCCAGCTGAAGGACGCCTCCGGGTGCGGGAATTTCTCGCTGCATTGAAGACCTGTTGGTGACCTTCTGCTGTTGTCTGTTCTATGGTCGGGTTGTTGTCTCTTTGACACATTCCCCATTTCCATTCTCAATTTTATTGGCTGTATGGTCCTTATGGTATAAAGTGTTTGTGTGTTTTTTTTCCTGCAAATCAATCAACATGGCCTGTGTCTAAAAATAGAACATAAGGGTGAAATGTTAGTAATTTTCTTATACATTTGTATCTAGAAAACTATAGTAGGTAGAGAAAATTTAACTGAATAAAACTGCTCAGAAAGTCAAGATCTATCTACTGTATATTTCCGCCAAATTTAAAAGTTTTTTGTGCATTATCTTCAAAATAATAATATAATCACAGAAATAGCAAAAATGATCAGCCATACAAGATCAGCATCTACAAAAATATTAATAGTACTTAGCCCATTTAATGATTTCTAATAGGACTTTTTGCCCTTACATGACTATTAAAGACTAATTGTAACATTTAAACCTGTTATCTTAAACATTTAAATAGAAAGAAAATGTTAACTTTATTGTACGTTGCATGCTGTAAAAACTATGTGAATGAATGATAATATTAACTTGATATTTTGAAAAGTACTGTACTTTTTAGAAGCAAATAATATTGAGATCTATTTCTTATTTTTAGGGAGGAAGTTTGAATTTAACAACAGAATTTGGTCATGTAAGAGATGTGTATAGTTTTGGTGTTCTGGTAGACTCCTTACTTGAACAGTTAGAAGATTTAGGTATGGCTTGATAATTGATGGTGAATGATCATTCATTTATTTATTTTCATGAATTACAATTTTTATGGTTGAAAAAATAATTTATTTTGAGGTTACTTTATTTGATGTTTATTTTCGTTTATCTTGCAACTCTCCATTTAAGTTCATGCAATTCTGACTGTTTCATGATTTTTCATACTCTCACTCTCTAATAAACTTAGGATCAGATAATATGTATTTTGTGTATGATCCTAGGTAGGTTGACACTCATGAATACAGCTTATAGATTATTTTTACACAACTGTTTCCATTATATAAGAGCAATAATGTCTTACATTTCTGTAGTGCATGAGTTTATCCTGTTTTAAGTGTGGGGTTCTTGAAAACAATATATATACACTTGGAAGCTGTATTTATTTGTACAAAAGTAAAACTTTGCAATATGGTGCATAGACTTTTTTAAAAAGAAATTCATATCCAAATCTTCAGGAAATTTACTGCTATTGAATTATTGCCTTCCTGTACTCCAATTCGCCTATAGCTATTCCTTATGCAGTGACCTTAACATGACCCTCTCATTAGAAATTCTGTAACTGCACTACACTTGCGCGAAGGGAAAAACCAGTGTCTTCCCCAGTATTCTCACACAGCACCATGGGATTTGAAAATAGCACTGTTTCCTTAAAATTATAGCACCACATTCATAGTACATTCTATCATAAAATCCATTCAGATTGCACAATGGTAAAAAATATAGCACCATGGCACCATGGTTCCAAAAAGCCCAGGGGAGAACACTGGAAAAACTATTGTGGAAGAAAAAGTTAACAAACATGGAAGGAAGGCAGTATTAACTGATTCTAAAAGAAATTTTTTGATACACCAAATCAGTCAAAATTGTTACGACAAAGTTTAATCAATAAATTGGAAAAGGGAGAAAATACAAAAAAAACAAAAATAAACCTCATTATATCATTCAATTAGAAATCTGACTTATTGTGAAAGAAATCAAACTAGTCCACAGAATCATTTCCTCTTGGTCAAGGTATTTAAACTTTTGTCAGTTCACTTGTCCCATTGAATAAAGAAAAATATCTTCCAAGTAGATTAAAATACTTGTTGATAAAAATGTATAAATAGGACTTAGTTTAGAATTAATGCATGCATTGGTTTAAAAATTTGTTAACCATTATAATGACCAGAAACATGTTTCATATGACTTTAATTTTGTAAAATTTATATCCCTTGTACATGTTTCTTTCAGATGAAATAATTAAAACTTTTGAACTTAGAATTCAAGATGAGTGTTTAAACAGTGATCCAAAACAAAGACCAAAACTTCACACATTTCTGGAGGATAAAATATTCAGGTAGGATATCTGTATCCAGTATTTTTATTTTACAATTGATTTGTGCTACTTTATCTAGGAATCATTCATGTATATATAATATATTGTAAAAATCCTTTATTTTTTCTCATGAAAATATTGTAGAACAAATTGCTTTAATTTTTATACCATTTAATACACATACAATGTACATACAATTGAGGTCGAAGGAGCCCACCTTAACTATTTGACATATACAAGGTGTAAGTCGCCAATTACATCATGTTTTATCTATCTTCCAATTCGTCTGAGTCTATAATGTAAAAAAAATAAAATTAAAATTATCTCAGTTGCTGCATGGTCAATCATCAATGGTGTTGACAAACAATAAGTAGACATGCCAATTTGAGTATTGTACAAACTGGTCATTGACCTAGTATTTAGCAAACTTATTTTGAAGCAAATAAATAACAATACGATTTTAATCAATATTTCAAACATCAAATATTTCTTTCCTTGCAAATATTCTTGTACTTTAAACTTTGACACATCAGGATTAATTTATTTGAAGGGACTTTAGAATATACTCAATTTAACTGAGACTTCGATTCAACCATTTCTGCTCATCAGAGTTAGTAATGCATTGAAAAGACTGGAATTTTACTGAAACTGACAAAATACCTCGACTTATGCAAGTTTTTGACAAAACCAAGTTCAACACCAAGAAGTGCAACTGTATTTGTCACCAGCTTATTTGGGTAAATTTGAATAAAACTAGTGAAAAAGCTTTGAAATGTCTTTTAATCTAAAATGACACTTCAATGCTATCAACTTTGACTTTGAAGAGTTCCTTTGTAAGGAAAATTGCATCTTGGCAACTGCAGCAAGTCCAGTAACTCAGTAGCTTACCAGATATATAGATATAAGAAGATGTGGTATGAGTGCCAATGAGAAAACTATATGACCTTTTTTTGTGTTACAAGTAATGTTTTTGTTTTTTCAGTAATGATTTATTATCTTTATCAACATTCCTACATCATATTACATTGAAGAATAAAGACGAAAGAGAAGAATTCTACAGGTAATTGGAGATTTTAACATTCAGATATTTTACAGATTTGTGGGAATTTTAATCCTATATTTCTTTAACCCAAATATACGATGCATAACTTAAACACTTAAAATTATTTTCTCTTCCTTTAGTGGGAATCTTAAATTCTCTTAAGAAATAGAGTAGAAATGGTAAAAGTGTTGGGGAACAATTTGAATTGTATTTATTGTGTTACTTATTAATATCAAAGCTTCAGTGGCATATAAGGATCACTTCTGTTGTCTAGCATCATTGTCAGTGTCAAGTAATATGCCACTATTGGTATTGGAAAGTGATTGACAGAATTCAACCAAAGTTGCACAGATTCTTCTACAGGATATGAAATTATAACCTTCTATTTAAATTTTTGATCAAAGGATTTTTGTGGTTTCTTGTATCAAAATATGGAATAACACTTTGCTATTTTTGGGTATATTATTTAGAGAATAGAGACGGCAGATTGCACACATTTTACTTTGAAGACTATCTAGTTTTTAGGTTTTTTAAAGGCAAATTGATTAGTTTAGTAATAAAATTGAGAGTGGAGCAATATCGTAATACGCAAGTTATAGTGGTGAAATCTGTTTCTCTCATGATTTTTAAATGATCTCTAAACAAATTTTATCTTTCCTTTTCCAAATTTTGCAGAAAGTCGTGCTCTTTATACATGTTATATGTGACATAATCAGGCATGGTCACCTTTTTTCATGAAGTCACAATTGGAAATTCAGAAGAAACCAAGGAAATTTGTCATCATAATTAAATTTCAACCTATCATTTGCCGAGAACAAAGTTTTCTCCAGACATGAGAAATATTTTTCTTACACCGATCGAGAAATGTGAAAAAAGCATGAAAATTAGAAAATGGATGTTAAACCATCATCAGCAAGTAGTAAATGTATATTTGAGACAAACTAGTTTCATTGAAACTTTGGCCTGTTTAATTTTTATGCCCTCGCCGTAGCGGTTGGGGCATTAAGTTTTACCCTTGTCCGTCTGTATGTCCGTCCGTACATCAATACGTCCTGAAATGGGTTTCCCTTCTCTAACTTTAGTTTGCCTTAACCAAATTTTATGAATCTTATACACAATGCTTATTACTACAAAACACAGATCAAGTTTGAATTTGGGTGGTGCACTTTTACTGTTCTAGAGTTATGCCCTTTACAAATGGAAAAATTGCTGAATTTTTTGTTTCCATTCTCTAATTTTAAGTTTGCCTCAACCAAATGTTCTGAAACTTATACACAATGCTTATTACCACAAAACTCAGATCAAGTATGAATTTGGGTAGCGTCACTTTTACTGTTCTTGAGTTATGTCCCTTTATAACGTTTTATGCAAGCTGGGGCATCATCTGTGTCCCATGTACACATTCCCCATTTATTTTTAATAGAAATATTCTAGTCTCAATAAAAAAGAAATAAATAGGTTTTTCAAGGTATCAATACTACTATTTACTTGATGAAGACAGTGTTTTTTCTGGACTTTGTATTTATTAGTGTATCTTTATGTTTTGAGTCATAGGCTAAATAATATTATTAAGCACACACACACTTTTTTCATCTTTTTGTTTTTCAGAAATTTACTCCAAAGACTCCAGTCTCTACCTGAAGAAACTGTAGGAAAACATCTAGTCAAACCATTGTTATGTAGATTTGTTTTATTAGACAAAACAGCAAGGGAAGTTGTGGCTCCTCATATACTGACTCCTATTAGAGGTAAATATGTAGATTTTTATAACAAGAAAAAGCAGTGAGTAAAATTTTGGCTGATGGTATACTAACTCATCAATAAATTTGATTAACGAGAAGACAACAATAAATTATTGTTTTTTTTTGTTGCTTAATTCATCCTTTATTTTACCTCATATAATTTTATGCCCCGCCATAGGCAATGGGGGCATTAAGCGTTACCCTTGACCATCCATCTTACTGTCCGTCATTCCGTCCCTCGGTCTATCCCATTTTTCGTTTCCACACACTAACTTAAGTTTGATTCTTGCAAATTTTATGAAACTCATACACAATGCTAAGAACCAAAACTAGCAGACAGAGTTCTATTTTGGGAAGTGAGTCACTTACCGTTCTAGAGTAATACCCCTTTATAATTTGGAAAATTGCTAATTTTTATTATGCCCCCGCCGTACCGGAGGGGGCATTAAGTTTTACCCTTGTCCGTCTGTACGTACGTACGTACGCACGTACTTCCGTCCGTACGTCCCGAAATTGGTTTCCGTTCTCTAACTTGAGTTTGCCTCAACCAAATGTTATGAAACTTATACACAATGCTTATTACCACAAAACACAGATCAAGTTTGAATTTTGGTGGCATCACTGTGACCATTCTAGAGTTATGCTCCTTTACAAAAGGAAATATTGCAAAATTTTTAGTTTTCGTTCTCTAACTTAAGTTTGTCTCAACCAAATGTTATGAAACTTATACACAATGCTTATTACCACAAAACACAGATCAAGTTTGAATTTTGGTGGTGTCACTTTAACCGATCTAGAGTTATGCCCCTTTATAAAAGGAAAAATTGCAAAATTTTTATTTTCTTCTAAATATCAAGTTTATATAATATATTTTTAAAATTGGAGTTATCTTCCTTTGACCATGATTATAGTTGAATCAACTACAATCAATGCTTTATACAATGCAATGTTTAATTTTGACTACCACTGATAAAACACAGATCAAGTTGAATTTGGGTAGTGTCACTTTAACCATTATTGAGTTATGCCCCTTTATAAATAAAAAGATTGCAAAATTTTTTAGTTTCCATTCTGTAACTGAAGTTTTCCCCAGCCAAACATTGTGAAACCTATACACAATATTCATTCCAACAAAACTCAGTAAAGATCATGTACATTTTTTTTGTTTCAGTTCTCTAACTTGAGTTTGTCTCAACCAAATGTTATGAAACTTATACACAATGCTAATTACTACATAATACAGATTAAGTACGAAATTAGGTGGCAACACTTTTACCATTCTAGAGTTATGTCCCATTATAAACATAAAAATTGCTGAATTTTTTAGTTTGTCTCAACCAAATGTTGTAAAACTTATACACAACCGTTCTAGAGTTATGCGTCATTACAAATATAAAAATTGCTGAATTTTTAGTTTCTGTTCTCTACTTAAGTTAGCCTCAACCAAATGTTATGACAATGCTTATTACCACAAAACTCAGATCAAGTTCAAATTTGGGTAGTGTCACTTTTACCGTTCTTCAGTTATGTCCCTTTATAACTATATGATATGCAAGCGGGGGCATCATCTGTGTCCACATGTGGACACTATCCACATTTATTTGTTTTAGCACTCTAACTTAAGTTGTCTCATCCAAACTTTATGAAACTCATACACATGCTAAGAACCACAACAGGCAGACAGAGATCGAATTTGGGTTTTAAGTCTCTTACTGTTCTGGACTTATGCCCATTTTTATGCCCCCGCCATCCGTACGTACATCCTAAAGTTGGTTTCCTTCTCTAACTTTAGTTTGCCTCAACAAAATGTTATGAAACTTGTACACAATGCTTATTACCACAAAACACAGATCAAGTTTGGATTTTGGTGGTGTCACTTTAACCGTTCTTGAGTTATGCCCCTTTACAAATGGAAAAATTGCTGAATTTTTTGTTTCCGTTCTCTAACTTAAGTTAGCCTCAATCAAATGTTTCGAAACTTATACACAATGCTTATTACCACAAAACACAGATCAAGTTTGAATTTTGGTGGCATCACTGTGACCATTCTAGAGTTATGCTCCTTTACAAATGGAAAAATTGCTGAATTTTTCGTTTCCGTTCTCTAACTTTAGTTTGCCTTAACCAAATGCTACAAAACTTATACACAATGCTTATTACCACAAAACACAGATCAAGATTGAAAATGGTGGTGTCACTTTTATTGTTCTAGAGTTATGCCCCTTTACAAATGGAAAAATTGCTGAATTTATCGTTTCCGTTCTCTAGCTTAAGTTTGCCTCAACCAAATTTTATGAAACTTATACACAATACTTATTACCACAAAACTCAGATCAAGTACAAATTTGGGTAGTGTCACTTTTACTGTTCTTCAGTTATGTCCCTTTATAACTTTATATGATATGCTAGCGGGGGCATCGCCTGTGTCCCATGGACACATTCCCCATTTATTAACTGAGAAAGTTGCACTCTTGAGCAGAGGCATTTGTGTCCATGAAAAATGAAAAATTCAAAAATCATTTCTGTGTCAAAACATTATACCTGACTGTTTCATAATCATTTCTTTGATGGAAAACATTATTAAGATAATCCTTAACTGGGAAAATATTTATTAAAGTTATTAAAAAGAAGAAAATGTCAATATTGATAAGTGAAACAAGGGAATCACCATAAAAATAAACATTATCTTTGGCTGATTTGGTCCACAAGAAATCATTCATATCCAGGTCAAACGATGATTTACATTTTTTAAATCTATGACATGAAATTAAACAGACCTTGAAAATTACTAATTACGCAACTCCACATGCTTCTCAGTCTATTTATATTTGTATTTATGTTTTTATCGGGTCGAATGATTATCAGCAGTCTTCCGAGGTGATCCTGATGGTTAATTAGATGGTGTCTAGTCTAAAATGCACACAGAATGCTGATGCATTATAACAAATCCATGCATTGTTTATTGTTTCTTTTGGACTTTTTGTAATTTGAATTTACATTTGAATTTGTTTAATATGAATCAGATAAGAGAATTAAAGTCAAATCGGTGATCATGAATTTGACAACTAATGCAATGCCCCTTTAAAATGAACTTAAAAAAAAAAAATCCCCCAAAATAATAAATATTGTGATGTTTTTGATCAGAAGTACATACTTGAACAAAAAATATACATATAAGTCTTAAGATGAAATACCATGGCAATTGCTTTGTTAAAACAATATTTTATACAAATTGAATTGAATTGGGCAACAGACCATGTCTATGTAAGCCCTCTGCACACAACAAGGTTCAATATTTTACATCAAATAATCATCATAAAACTGCATAGGGCTATTCGTGGAAAAATGTTTGGGAGGTTTTGACACCACAAGATACATTTTCTGTTGGTAATAGGTGTGGGAGTAGTGTTGTCTGCCCCCTCCTCCCATACATTCTTTTCTAGAATAGCCCTTATGATCAGGCCTGGGGCCATTACATTGCAATGTGATGTATTACATTACAATTACTTTGTGATTCTTCCATTACAATTACAATTACAATTACATTTTTTCTTACATGTAATGCATTACATTACAATTATTTTGCCTGTGTAATGCATTACATTACACATTACTTTTTCAATATAAAAACTAAAAACATTTCAAAGACAGATTTTTATAAGAAATTGATAAATATTACTGGTTTATATGTACATATATATACCGTGTTAGAGACATAGACTTCAAATACTGGTTAATTAAATAAATTATCATATAATTTTGTTTCTAACATTGATCACTTAATCATTAAGACATCATAAAGGGATTTCAAAGGGATATAATAATTTGTCATTAAAGGTTTATCTTGTTAAATGCCTAAGGGCTCTTTGAGGACAAACATAAGTTGAGAAGATTTGATTGCAATAAAAACATTTTGATATTAATTAGGTGAAATAATAACACAGACAGGACCCAAACAACAGTTTGGTGTAAAAATGTTGATTGACATATTCAATCTTTCATTGAAATACATGTAAGGTGTGTATAGAATTATGAAAAGTTTATCAGTGTCAGGTGGTAAATCAAATTGGTCTAATATATTATTTTCTATGTTGTCCTTGCAAAATCTCAAACTATCTATAATGATTTAATACAGTAATTAACTGTGACTATAGTTTTATTCAATACTTTCTTTTGTTTTTGTTAATATTTTATTTTTATTTTACTATATTCTTCAATTTCATGTATTTTACCAATTTGTAATGAAAAGTAATATACAGTAATGGAGGGATTACACTGAAATCTAACTAAAGTAATCATTACATTACATGTAATTGTAATGCAGAAAATGTGCATTACAAATGACTTTGCATTACATCCAAAAAATGTAATATTACAATGCATTACAATTACAAATTACCATTACCCCAGGCCTGCTTATGATAATCAAAATTGTGAAAATTGCATACCTTGGAAATAAATACAGAAATTATTGCAAGGTTTTGATTATTGTGAATATTGTGACTGGATGAGTATCCCAATTGCATGCTTAATTTGACACCTATATTAATTTTTATGCATCTTTTCCTGTAATCGCAATAATTATTCTTTTTTTTTGGTCTGTCAGGTCAAAATCACAATAATAAATTCACACAATAATTTCTGAAATAACAGTATAATTTATATGAATAGCATTTGTAAATTTAACATACCAAAATTTTTATGTTTTGTAGATTTAAGTAATGGAAGATTTGCTCAGAGAAGGGAGATAACTCCTGTATTTTCAGAGTCAATATACAGATCATATGTCATACCAGAGTTGTATAAAGCTTTCTGTTGCCATGAAATAAACATAAGGACTTTATTACTCAAGTTTTTTCCATGTTATGTAGATTTATTTGATAAAGAAAAGTTGGAAGATATAATTTTTCCACAGGTAAATACAAATCTATCTTTTCTTTTCAGCAAGTTTAAAAAGTTTATATTTATATAAAGCTATGTTTGAAAAAAAATAGTCTATATCACATAAAAGTGTATGTTCTCTTGAGAAATTATTTTTGTATCAGGAAAAAACTTCTTTATTAAGAAAAATGAATTTTAAATTGGAATTGATTTTTTTTAATAACATTTTTTTTATTCACTTTAAATGTGGTAGCTTGAGATGTAAAAATTATGAAATATGCTTTGGTGGCAGAAACCAGTTATTTTACAATAAATCTTTAGAATTTCATGGATTTATGATTTAATTTTCCTGAAAAATCGTTCAAGCTTCACATATGCAAATAAAATTTATGGTTTCGAGTAACTAAGATGTGTACATGCTTATGTGAATATATAGAAAACCTGTAAATTTGGGTGTCTGACCAGCATGGAGATTTTAAAATTTATAAATGCATTGCAAATAAGGCAAAACATGTGATGCTCTGATAAATCCTCACCTTCAGAATCCTGCTTATGTCAGACAAGAATTTTAGGCAAATTTCAAGAGATAAAAGATATTCAATGAATTAGAGCCTTGTCAGCACCTATTCTTACCATCAAAATCTCAAGATATTTTTAAGCAGTTAAGCTGCTTTATGCGAGCACCCTAGATTTGTGTTCTACCCAATAAATGCTGAAATATGTGCCATTGTTATTATCTGGCTGGCTATTATGTTATTTATAACTAATTGAACACTTTTTTCATACTTTTAATTCTGGAATACAAAAAATATGACCAGAAAAACCTTAAATGATCGTCGAACCACCCAAAAGTTTTGAAGTTGCACATAGGAAGTAGTGCTCAATAGAAATCCTTATGTAGTTTATTATCCCCTGTGCTTTTGGCCAAGATGTCAAAGAACAATTGCATGAATTATTTCATCGCCGATAATCTCTAATTACAAGTCGTTTACAGTTGCCAAATGGCACAAAGCGCAGGAATATTGTATAACGGCTGTGACTAATATGACACGGAGTTGAAGTCTCAGTTGGCGGTAATTTTAACTTCGTCGACAAAACGTAAATCAAGGACGTTTTAAATTTGGTGATTTCTGATAATAATCATTTTGTTCAACCGCTAGCTTTATACCGAAAATCGCCAACATGTTATGTGTAAATCCGAGTAAATCGTATCTGACTGACAAAAACAACATTGAAAAACAATGGATGCCATAAACCGGAAATGAAGACAATTATAATACCGGATCTAATTCCGGGGGCGGATAAGGGTAATTCCGGATTTGCCGATCAAATACAATAAAAATATAATAATTCCAGGCATGAGACAAAATACATCTATCATGATGAAATATAAACTCTAGAATTGAAAACCAAAGATATATTGAAAGGAAAGAAAAAGCAGGAAATATTTTATACAGAAACTCAAAATTACTTTTAGTTCACAAATTTTCATGTCAAAAACCAATAAAATGTGACAGTATTTTCCTTATCATTAATAAATATTGATATTACATGTAGATGTTTTTATTGTTTAAACATATTACTACAATTCCATGAGGTAATTTCTTCTCAATTTTGAAGGGCCTATAAAAATCTGGAAGTTTCTTACTTTATTTTCACAGAGGAACTAGCTAATATAATATATAATGCAACTAGATATGATACACTTAAACAGTTTTGAATTTGAACTGTTTAATATAATGGTATAATTAGTAATAAATAATCAATTGTTGAGACAACACACCCACCCACAGTGATACCCTCAGCCTCCCTCAGCCTTCCTAATACAAAAAAAAAGATTATTTGAATTCATAAATTAATATACAAGACAATTACATTTATTATTAAACAAGTTAAACGACAGTGACACTGACAATGAAACAAGCTAACTTAACACCAAAAGCACATTAAAGTATCTTACTGAGTTATGAACTATTTCAAGTAAAAGCAGGACCTGGAATTTAGGTTGTGGACCTTTCAGTTTGGAGTGTCAAAGGTCCTGGACTGTCCAGTACCAAATGTTGATTTTAACCCCTGCATTCACAGTAAAGCGATTTTGACGTGTATTGCAATTCCAAGTAGAATTTACTTTTGGACATTAAACGTTTCGAATGCGTATTAAACTAATTCAAATCAGTTAATAATGTGAATCGAATTCGAATTATGTGTGAACGCAGCATTGATATATCTAAGAAATGAAGAATATTAAAAAAAGATGGACAAAATATTTGTATTAAATTTGTTGCAATTTTTGTCTTGCCTTGACAGAGTCAAAAAGTGAGACATATATATATATATAGGCATGCTGTTTTGGCGGAATCAACAATGTATTAGTTTGTGATTTTGTGATAAGGTCTGGTTTCTGGTAGGTCAATGACATTTTGTAAGTAGTTGTGTTAGCATAGGCACATCTCATTACCATAGAGAATATTTGGCCCCACCCCCTTAGTCATGGTCTATTGACTTTGAAACTTTGCATAGTTTACATGTATAGGTTTGTGTTTAGGTCAGTTTAGGGGGAACCACTAGTGGTAGGTCAATGATATTTGGTGTGCAGTTGTATAAACTTTTTCATTTCTAATTTCCATTGAGATTATTTGGCCCCGCCCCCTCAATCATGCTCTTTTTACTTGGAAACTTATGTTACTTTGAAATTTCATTTATTAGTTTTCGATTAGGTTAGTATTAGGGAAACCAATAGTGGTAGGTCAATGATAATTGGCATGTAGGTGTAGAAGCATTAGTACGTCTCATTTCCATAGAGGATATTTGGTCCTCATCCCTCAGTCATATGCATGATCTATTGACTTTGAAACTTTTACTTAGTTTACATGAATGAGTTTGTGATTATTATGATTATGTCAGTTTAAAATTACCAGTAATCTTAAGTCAAAGCTATTTGGTATGCGAACGTATTGGTATTCAAAAGTTTCATTTCCATGGATATTATATAACCCCACCCCCTCATTATGGTTCATTGACTTAGAAATTGAATTTGTGTTAAGGTTTGTTTAAAGGGAACGACTTATGAAAAGTCAATGGTATTTGGTTTGCAGTTGAACAAGCATTGGCACCTTTCATTTCCATAGAGATTGTTTAGCCTTGTACCTTCAGTCATGGTTCATTGACTTTGAATATCACTTACATGTTAAAGTATTACTATTTTAAGTGTAACATTTGCATTATCAAAATAACAAATAGGCAAAACATTACGTTGTGTTAATAGCTTATTATAGATTAGACATGTGTAATTATTATAAAAATCAGGAGATGTGGGATGATTGCCAATGAGACAACTATCCACCAAAATTCAAATGAAGTGAATGTGAGCAATTACAGGCAACCGTACAGCCTTCAAAAATATATGTTGCATCATTGCTAGGCCATTAAAACAACATCAGCATTTCTTGTAATACTAGTATACAAGAAAATTACACCATTTCAGATAGTTTCAGGTATGATTTGATAATTGTGCATAGTGGCACCAGCTGATCCAACTAAAAGCGCTAATATGGCATATTCAAACTCTAGTACATAGTGGAATTAAACCATACACCACTGTTGGACACCATAATTGAAATTATTATTCTGAAAAGAATATTCCTCCATGCAGCCTGCAACAATTAGCAAAACCTATACTGCATAGTAAGATATAAACGACCACGAAATGACAAATGTAAAACAATAAAACTAAAGCAGCCTGATTTATGTACAAAACAATTATGAAAAATAAATATGATATACAGCAACAATCAACAATCACCAAATTACTGGGTCCTCACTATGGACAGGTACATACAGAATGTGGCGGGTTAAACATGTTAGCTGGCACAAAACTCTCCCCTAACATGGGACAGTGTATGTGCATAATCTCAGACATTGAATCTTTAAAAAATAAATTGGAAATAACTTTTGAAAGTGATAGGATTGGATAGCAGAAACATTACGGTACAAACATTATTTGATACTTGAGAAATAGCTGAGATATATAGATTATACCACTGCATCGAGTGTGATACGATATTTATCCACTCGAGACAGTCACATGACAGTTAAATTTTCAAATTTAAAACGCGAGGCTCGCCGAGCGTTTTAAATATTTAAAATTTAGCTGTCGAGAGTGGATAAATATCGTATTACACGAGATTTGGTGGTGGAATCTGTTTCTCTAATGATTTTCAAACAATATGCAGGCACACTTATTCCGTCTTTTCGAATGATCTGTAAAAAGATGTGTTCTTTCTATGTGACGTCATCAGGCATGGTCGCCTTTTTTCATGCCGTCCCAATAGGAAATTCAGAGGAAAGCAAGTAAATTCGACGTCATAATCGGATTTTAACCAATGAAGAACTGAGATCAAACGAACCACACGTTGATTAAATTTTTTGTATACAATGGGTGCAGAAAGGGATAAATTGACGAAGAATTAGAGAAAAATATTTTCATCCATTCTTCCGCTATATTCATCTTAACTTCTGCCAAGTTTACCTTTGATTTTTTTAATTAACTGCCTATAGCGCCTTTGGTGCTTTGATTGTTTACATAAAACTGAATTTTTTCCCCACTTTGATTGGATACCATCAAGAGAGGAGACCCTAATTTTGACTTCTGATTGGTTCCGTATGTGAAGGAAATCCCCAACCTGTATTAATGTAGTACAATAGCCTAGAATTTACATTCATTTGTTTTTTCAGTCCACATGATGCAATTATATACCTCATTGCTTAACTATAACAAAATTTCTGTGTGGGACACATGTTCTGGTACACCAAAACTGGTACTTGCCACCTTTAAATCAGTAAATAAGGGAGATAACTCGGTGAAACCACACACATTTGCTAATTTAGTAGAATGTGTAGGATTTATCATTAATGATAAAAAGGGAAGGCATTCATACTGCCAAATACATTTAGTTGTTTTATCAAAACTGTAAATACTTATAAACAGTTATCTGCATTTAGTTTAAAGTATTGTAATAGTGAGAAGATTGTGATCACCATTTTATAATATACAATCTTATCTTGTTTCATGGACTATCCTTTTTCTGAACTCAGAGCTATTTATAAAAAGTAAATATCATATACAGGATACTTCTAAGCGTGAACATTGTTATGGTAAATTAAATGCAAATTAAGATACATCCTTACTTTTAATCAAATTACTGTTATCAATGTCTTTTGTAGATTTTACTAGGTATTCGAGATACAAATGAAGAGTTAGCTGCCCTTAGTTTACACTGCCTAGCAGACATGATATCCATACTTGGTAGAGATGTAGTAATTGGAGGGAGGAGTAAAACATATTTCATTGAAGGTCTGCCAAAGGTAAGAGTAGTTATAATATGTCACTCCAATCTTAATTGATTAGGATTGTCAGTTTTCCTACTGAAGTTCAATGGTTTTCTCCGGGCACTCTGGGTTCTTCCACCAATAAAAACTGACCGCCACGAAATAGCACAATAGTGCTGAAAATGGCACTAAAAACCAATCACTCAATCAATCAGGTTTAAAAGGGAGCATAATTGTCTGTTATGGTAAATGTAGCACATATCTTTTTCCTAACAAATGTTATTTTTTCCAACCAATTAAGGGGTTGCTGCTGATCAGAAGATACAAATCAAATAAGAATTGTATGGTCATTTATATGTTAACTTGAGAGAATGCCCAGGAAGGCATTAGAGACAATTCCTGTAAATAGTTTGAAGTAGTGTACAATCAGTACACTTAGAAAGGAAAATATAGCATTATTCTATGGAAACACTTACAGGATGTTTTAAAATTATCAAGGAAGTCTCCCTGTGTAACAACAATTTTGCAAAAAATGATATATGCAGTGTTCTCCCCAGGCCGTTTTAGCGTCGCGGCACCGAGACGCTATATTTTTTTCCCGTGATGCTATAATAATTTCAGCGACGCTATAATTATTTTGAGGATGCTATGTTTCTTGTCACTATATCGCAAAACCATGTCCTAAATTTTGAACTTTCATCTAAGTACCGCTTGTGATCATAAAAATTATATCACCTTTAATTGTAATCCCTTCAAGTCCGACAATAGAGGCAATTTAGAGTGATTAAATAGGTGTTAATTGCCCTTTGGGTGATTACTGAATGGATACGAATACCCCAAGCTGACACTTGTGACATGACTAATACCACGTGATTCAATCGCAAATTTCGACATGGAGAAAATTCAATCAAAAATCGAAAAACAATTCGAAATCTACGTTTGCATAATCCAAATTCATAGATACAAACGATTTCTCTCTTTAAAAAAGAGGTTAGGTTGTATATTTTTACAACTGTTAAAAAAATTACTTTCTTTCATTTCCGGTATCTAGTTAATCAAGAGCGTACATGGCGTATATTAAACATTTTGATTTAGAGTTAAGAAACTTCTTTAGAAAGAGATCATAATTGGCTTTAGTTTATGTTTCATCCATTTAATGCATTAAAAGCATCATATGCATTCCCAATCTCTTGTCAAACATTGTTTATTTTCGTAAATTTTTCTTCCGCCGCCATTGAAATATTTGTGTAAACTACGAATCGGAACCGGACCAGATATGACAAAATTCCGCATTTTTACGATAATAACTACAGATGCACACATGGCACAGTAGACAGAAAAAATTATCACAAATGAGAAAACTACGCATTCCACACACATTAACAGACTATTTATTAGATATCTTTGCTAAACGTATTCTTTTTGAAAATGCATTGTTTTAATATACTGACTAAAGTAGCTTAACTTTGTTAAAAATATATATCATTTTGATATAAAGAAACAACTGGGACTAATTCATTCATTGATTACCATGAAACAATGAATTTCATAGACATAATAGAGAAAAAAGTTTTTTAATTGAAATTTTATTGCTATATGATACTTTCTCTTCCCTTTTTATATAAAAACCAGTTCTTTTTTTTTGCTAGATATTTAGTATTGTATATATACAGGTTGCACTATAATAAACCATTCATTCATTCATTTAGTTAAGTAGGTAGGGTCGTTACATTGTTTTAGATGTATCAATTTTTTCACAAAGAATGAGTTTTGCCTGTTTGTATGGTTATAATACAGATGAACCTGCATTCTTTGATATAATAATGCAGAACATTTTATCCTTTAAAAACACAAGTGTTTTATTATGTGGTGACTGGAATGTTGTTTTAGATAAATTTATGGATACATATAATATCAAACATAATAGAAACCCTAACTCCCGTAAAAAACTTGATGAAATCATTGATGTTTTTGAACTACTTGATCCTTGGCGTACATGCTATCCAGAAGATAGGAAATATACTTGGCATCAGTCCTCACCTATAAAACAAAGTCGTTTAGATTATTTTTTAATTTCAGAAGACCTTTTTTCACTAATGAAAAATACTAAAATTATACCAGGTTACAGAACTGACCACTCAGCAATTATTTTCACCTTCTCAGCTTGTTTAGAGAAACGGGGCAAAAGTTACTGGAAATTTAACTCTCAATTACTCAGAGATGCAGATTATATACTAAAGGTTAAATTATGTATTAAGGATACTATTTTGGAATACTATCTGTCAGGTGATATGGAAGATCTTCTTTCTGTTGATTTGTCATGTAATGATCAAACATTTTTTGAAATATTGAAAATGAAGATTAGATCTTTGTCCATAAATTACAGCATAAATAAATATTTAAAAAAAAATTTCACCCTCAAACTTGAAAATAATATTTTACATTTAGAAACTATTATGAATCATTCTCCAAATGAGGCGGTTCAAAAATCTTTACTTGATAAAAAACTTGAACTAGAAAATTGTCGACAAAAGAAGGTTGAAGGTTTGCTGCTTAGATCCCGCTCTAACTGGCATGAGAATGGTGAAAAATGTTCAAATTATTTTTGTAAATTAGAAAAGAAAAATTTTATAAAGAAAACAATAACAGAACTAATAGATGATAAAGGTCAACATATATCAGAGCAATCAAAAATTCTAACGGAACAACAAAATTTTTATAGAAATTTATACTCAAGCAAAAAATTAGATTGTGATGATTCATCATTTTTTAATCATAACATTAAGCTTACAGAAGAACAAAGTGATTTTTGTGAGGGTAATTTAACTTTTAAAGAATGTGCTGATTCGTTAAAATTTATGACAAATGGTAAAAGTCCAGGTTCTGATGGGTACACAGTAGACTTTTATAAATTTTTTTGGAAAGATATTGGTCCTTTCATCTTTCGGTCTCTTCATTTTGGATACGAGGTTGGAAAATTTTCTGATTTTCAGTATCAAAGTGTAATTACATGCATTCCTAAGGAGGGGAAAGACAGACAGTATATAAGTAACTGGCGTCCTATTAGTCTTTTGAATACTGATATGAAAATAGCTTCTGCTGTTATAGCTAATAGACTTAAACCAGTTTTACCATTTGTCATAAGTGATACACAAAAAGGTTTCATCAAAGATAGATTTATGGGTGAGAACACACGCCTTTTATATGATTTAATGCACTATCTTGAAGAAAATAATAAGACAGGTCTTTTATTACTTGTTGATTTTGAAAAGGCCTTTGATTCCCTAGAATGGTTATTTTTAAAAAATTCTTTAAAAAGTTTTAATTTTGGGCCTTCAGTTTGTAAATGGTTTGAAACTTTATACTCAGGGGCATCAAGTTGTGTTATAAATAATGGACATACTTCTAAGTTTTTTCAATTGGAAAGAGGCTGCAGACAAGGAGATCCTCTTTCACCCTATTTATTTATAATTAGTGTTGAATTACTATCTTTAAAATTAAAAGATAATCCTGAAATAAGGGGAATAACTGTAAATGATAATGAATCACTTTTAAGCCAGTATGCAGATGACACATTCCTTATGTTAGATGGAAGGGAAATATCGTTGAGGGAAACACTTTCATGTTTTGAATCTTTTTATAAAATTTCAGGTTTAAAAATAAATGCTTCAAAGACAAAAGCACTATGGGTTGGAAACAAAAAGTATTCAGATATGATTCTTTGTCCTGACTTAAAACTTCATTGGTCACATTCAAATTTTAAACTTTTGGGGATTTAATTTTCTTTAGATTTAAACTGTATCACAGAAACTAATTTTGCCAAGAAGATTAAAGAAGCCTCTGCAATCCTGAAGAGCTGGCAACATCGTAAACTAACATTATTGGGGAAAATTACAGTAGTTAAATCACTTGCTCTTTCAAAATTGGTACACTTAATGACTGCATTGCCAAACCTATCACAATCCAGGTTAACAGAGCTCACTTCATTATTTTATAATTTTATATGGAGTGGAAAACCAGACAGAATTAAGCGTAACACACTTATTGGTGATATTTCACAAGGTGGACTTAATATGGTACATCTTCATTCCTTTAATATCTATTTAAAAATTAGTTGGATAAAAAGACTGATGTCAAACCCAGTTGGTGGCTGGCAGCAGTTGTTACTTGCAGACCTTATACAGTATGGGGGTGAAAGGGTTTTACATCTACAGAAAGAAAAGCTGATTGAGATTTCTAAGAAATGTAAAAATCCGTTCTGGAAGGATGTTTTACTATGCTTTTCTATCGCAAAACCTAATACTGAGAATTCTGTCAGTGACATTTTATCATTAGATATTTTGAACTTTTCTTCTTTGGATGATTTCCCATATTATATTCAATGGAAACAAGGAGGTGTGCAGTCAGTAAGTGACCTAATTAATAAAGAAAATATGAATTTTTATAAATTTGAGCAATTTCAAGAAAGAGTAAAAATCAACAATTTTATCAAATATCATGGTCTGATTTCAAGAATCCCTCAGACTATGAAAAAATACCTTAAAGAGAACTGTTTAAAGCAAGATTTGGATAAGCCTGATAATGGTGATATTTTTTTAAAGAGAATTATAGGTAATGTGAAAGCCAAATTTGTATATAAAAATTTAGTAAATAAAGTTATTGAACTACCAACAGTCAAGTTTTCGAAATGGGAAGAACTGTTGATTATTGATACAACAGAATGGTCAGAATATTTCAGGATAACCAAAAAATCATGTAGAGATGTTTATTTAAGAACTTTTCAGTACAAATTTTTGCATAGAATCATAGCAACTGATACCTTTTTATACAAAATTAAATTAAAAGACACCAAGATGTGTACTTTTTGTAAACTTGGAGAAGAAACTATTGAACACCTTTTTTTTGAATGCCCAATAACTTTTCAATTGTGGCAGTCTTTTTCAAATGCAGTAAAACTTTTTTTTGTAAACTTTGTTCTTAACAAAGAGAATGTGTTTCTTGGTTGCAAACATGAAAGTTTATTACTGAATCTGTTAGTCATAATTACAAAAAACTATATATACAAATGTAAATTAAATGAAACAAAACCAAATATGGTTGGGTTAAAGAATAGAATAAAGAAATACCAATTTCTTGAATATTATATTGCAAAGAAAAATAATAGAGTCCAAGTGTGTGAAAAATTTTGGTCTCCTTTACATGTAATATTTAATTAATTATTGTTTCATATAAGTGAGAGAATAAAATATCTATATATCATGAGCAAATATTTAGCCTTGAGTTTTTTTTTTTTTGGTTTTTTTTTTCTTTAAAATATTTTGTTTTTAAAATGTAAGTCAAGATACATCATGTACATATTGTAGCAAAACAAATGAGTGAAGAGTATTTGTATTGTATGAGAGAAAGTCAGAGAGCGAGAGAATATAATCAAATAAAATTTATATGTAACCTTAAATACCACATGTATAATTATAAAAATCAACTTGTCAGTGATATATATTGTATACTGAATTATTTTTTATATGTAACCCCTTGATACCCTTGTCAGGTGGTAGTGTAGGGGTACATGTATATTAAATCCTGACTATTGAAAAACAAATAAAAGATAAAAAAAAAGTAGGTAGGGTAACTGGAACCACACATATATTTTTATTTGGCCCAAGGGGAAAAAAAATAATTCTGTAACTATAAATGAATAAAGAAAACATAAACTGAAACAACTGTTATCATGGTTATAGTTTAATTGTATTCTCAGTTATGAATTGAACAATATAAACATATATAACATAAAGGAAATAGATCATCGCCGCGACGCGTCAAATCGTTTATTTTTTTTACGCCAAATGTGATGCTATCCAAAATTTCTGGGGAGAACACTGATATATATATGTTACCGGTTTCCATAGTTTATTATGGGTTATTCCAGAATTAAATATATGGAGGATTGGAAGGCACCTAATACCGTCTTTTGGGGTGAATAGTGCGCATTTGTGTATAGTGCGCACCCCCTTTATGGTCCAAGAAACGTGAGAAAAAAAGTTTATTGTTCGTATAAGACTCATAGACATTTTGGGAAAAGTTACAGCTCCAAAATCGGCAAACAGGAAGTTTTTTAAATGGACACCAAAGTCGGTGAATTCCGTACGGAACATGTTATTAATATGAAATTGCATATACTCTGACAAATGAATAAGAATTTTATTAGATTGAGATAAATCTACATTTAAGTTTGTTTTTTTAAAACCAAATTTAATAAATTGTTTGAGTATCAAGGACAAGATTAAATATCCAAATTAATGTTCTGATTGAAACAATAACATAATTACGAATCAGTCAAATGATTATCATTAACATCATTAGTGCTGTAATAAATTGTTAAAATCTCATTATTTTTATTTTTTGTTTGTTGATTCTAGCTGTTAATCCGGATTATTACACCTCAATCAACTGGTCTAATCGATGTCAAAACAAATCAGTGACAGGTTCACCTTGTTCCTAATTAAATTTGTTCAGGTTACAGGTTACAATTATGGGATTATCATGTTTTAAATCATAATTTCTTGAACGGTTTTAAACAGTTGTTTAAAAGTTACAAAGTAGAAATGTATTTATAAAAATAAACTTCTCATAGACTAAATCATCACTTTACAATATCAAGTCACATGACTGGCGATCATCTGATACATTAGAAAAAATGGCGGTTTAACTTTTCTTCTACTCTCCATGATGAACACATACAAAAACAGTAAGTTATGACAACAAGGAACACTGAGGCTTATATAACCGACAACAAAAGCTTTATTGTGTTTTTATTAAGACATGGCAAATTTCCGGATTGCAAACAGATGGACAAATTTATTCGATAAACGTAACCACAGAGATATAAAATGTATTTTATTTGAATAAAACATGACAAATCAAGAACAATAAGATACATATTACAAATATAACATGTAAAACATAAAAACAATCGAGGTTTTAGCAAAAATATTCCGTACTCTTCACTTCTCCTGGAAATTTCTTTGTGGGAGTTTGGACCTGAAAAAAAACTAAGAAAATGTCTGTAGGCATGTATAACACGCACACCTCTTACAAGAAACATGACCCAGGGTATAAATGTGTGCACTATACATACCAAAAGACGGTAATGATAATTTAGGGACAGTGCGATTAAAACAATTGTTACAAAAAATTAAAGAATAATGCATTGATGAATTAAACTTCTAATTAAAATTGTACAGGTTTGGGATCTTTGGGAAAAATTGCCTGCCAAATCTTATTACTAGTAGTTTTATTTTAGAAAAGCCCTCATTTTGAAAATGAAAAAAAACAAACAAACAAACTGAGAAGTGTGACAAAAAATTATACACCAGATTTGAAAATACTGTTAAAGTTCATTACCTGATGTAGATCAACATACCTGAATTGTACATACTCATTTTCAAGGTTGGAGGTTCTATTGTTTGTAGTTGATTAAGGTACTTCAAGTCTAATCAGGCTTGAAAGAACATCTTTTGGACTCTAACAGGTAATTATGATTGATTTATTAATGGTGTTTGATGCTACTTTGTGCTTTCTATACTATATCAAGGAGGCCAGTTTTAATTGGTGGAGGAAGACCGCATGTGAGCAGAAAACCATGAAATATCAGCAATGAAAATTGACAATCCTATTCAATAAAAAATGGAGTTGATAGTACCTTGCCGCGATCCGGGTTCCAACTTACAACCTCGATGTTGTTAGGCTAGTGATCACAGTATCACTATTTAGACCACTCAGCCTAGTGATCACTGTATCACTATTAAGACCACTCAGCCTAGTGATCACTGTATCACTATTTAGACCACTCAGCCTAGTGATCACTGTATCACTATTTAGACCACTCAGCCTATTTGGCCCAAATGACAATATAAACTTGTTTTATCTTATGTTGAGAACATGTGAATAGTATAACCATACATTAATCTAGTAATATATTTTCAATGACATTTTCAAACACACTGTAGCTGAAATAGGGATGACAACCACAAATTTCATTAAATGAAAATAACATTTCTGAATTTGATAATTTAGATAGTTATTAAAAATAGAATAACCATACATTGAAATATAAATTTTATTTGTACAAGGCTTAGAAACAGGTAGAAAGCGAGGCTTTGCAGAGCATTTCTATCCTGTTTTGAGCCGAGTACAAATCAAATTTATATTTCGAGACAAATGTATGGTTATTCTTTATATACTGCAACTCCTACAAATGAAATATTTAGGGTTAAAACCATCATTTTTTAATTTGGAGCGAACAACGTTAAAATTCCGTGAACCTGTACTTTTAATGACGTCATAAGTAAAACTCTACGGAAATGCATTGTCAACGTCATAGACAAGACGATATACAGTCAATGCAATTTGACTGCGCAAATAGCACAGCTGCAGTATATTCTGAGATATGTCTTTAGTATATCCTTTTCTTCTTCTTTCAGAATGTAAATGCTAATCTACAGGAAAAAGATCCTGCCAAAAATATAAATGGTGTCATTGGCAAGGTGAAGTTAAAGGACCTGGCTACCCTTAGGTATATTTCATAAATAAGACAAAATGAGTGTAAATTCTTGTTCAATAATGAAAGAAAAATGGAAAGGCAGTGCTTTTATCGTGTTAATTATTAACATACTTTTATTCAATTAGGTTTGATGCCACCTGTAAATGCACCCTTTAGCTACAGGAAATACACCCTCTAGCTACAGGAAATACACCCTCTAGCTGGAATCAACTGGTAAGAACCAAAAAGTGTTACTAATACATAGACTTACTTTTGAAAAGATTTTATGCTAGTAACAATCTCATAATACCCTTTTTATACGACAGCAAAAAAAATTTGCGGTCATATATTGGTATGACGTTGGCGTCGTCTGTCGTCTTCGTCGTCGTCCAAAGACACATTAGTTTTCGCACAATAACTTTAGTTTAAGTGAATGGATCTCTATGAAATTTTACCATAAGGTTCAATACCACAAAAGGAAGGTTGGGATTGAATTTGGGGGTTATGGTACCAACAGTTAAGGAATTAGGGGCCAAAAAGGGGTGAAAAATAAGCATTTTTGTAACTTCCAGACAATAACTTGTGTATTAGTGTATGGATCTCTCTGACATTGTACCACACGTCTGTATCACAAAGGGAATGCTGGGATTGATTTTGGGGGTAATTGCCTCAAAATTTTAGGAATTAGGGGTAAAAAAAGTGGCAAAAAACAAGCATTTTTTCTAGTTTCATGACAATAACTTGTGTGTAAGTGTATGGATCCTTCTGAAATTGTACTACAAGGTTCCATATCACAAAGGGAAAGCTGGAATTGAGTTTGGGGGTAATTGCCTAAAACATTTAGGAATTTTGGGCCAAAAAGGGGCCAAAAATAAGCATTTTTCTAGTTTCCAGACAATAACTTGTGTTCAAGTGTATGGATCTCTCTGAAATTGTACCTCAAGGTACCATACCATAAAGGGAAGGCTGGGATTGAGTTTGGGGGTGATGAATCATAAGGGGGTTCAAAAAATTTGGGTGGGATTTTTTTTTTCGTTTTTTTCGTTTTTTTTCTTTAAAATTTTCCATTTTTAGTTGGTTATTTCTGATTTATATATAAAAGCAAATGATAATGATATGGTTTCAATAGGTAAATTAAAATATTTTAAGTTCTTAGACCACATTCATTCTGTGTCAGAAACCTATGCTGTGTCAAATATTTAATCACAATCCAAATTCAGAGCTGTATCAAGCTTAAATGTTGTGTCCATACTTGCCCCGACTGTTCAGGGTTAGACCTCTGCAGTCGTATCAAGCTGCGCCTAGGGGAGCATTTTATTGTTCTCTGACATCAATGAAAATACACTGATGTTACAAGATTAATTGTGTTTACTACATGTTTTGTTGGAATTAGTACAATTACAAATTGAAAGAAGAAAGTCATATTAGAATTAAAAACTTATTTTATCAGTGTTGACTGTTCAGTCTGTTCAGCAGAGGTTCCGAAGGTTTTTTGGACGTCACTGGTCTTTTGGTCCAGTAATTGTTCAAGCCTTATTGGTCCAGTCAGTGTTTTAGCATTCTTTTGCATTATGAGTATTACAAAATTCTTACATCTACACTGGTCATTTGGTCCAGTAATTGATGACATTTTACTGGACCGAACCATTTATTACTGGACATTGCCACATGTCTGATGGACCTTAGGAATGACTGCTGTTCATTGTTCTTTTATTTGTCTTCAGCAAAACAAAGACAGAAAGTAATCAAAGCTCACCTTCAGACAGTAAAAGTAAAGAAGAAAAAATGAAGGAAGCAAGAGAAAGAAGAGAGCAAAAAAGACTTGAAAGACAAAACAAAAAGAATTCATTGACGAAAGGTGAGAATCATAAAGTTATATTGTGCTGTTAATGATTGGATATAAAAATAAAAGAACATGGAGTTATTTATGACATGACTGTAGATTCAGAAACCTTTTTTGTGGTTTTATTATGTGATTGTTGGAACAATGCCAAAAACTGAGATTAATTATTATGATGTCCTAATATGCTGCATACAAATTATGCTATAAAAACTTTAAATGTGAGTTTTTATTTTTGCGAAACAAATCCTATCACAATTTTAGCAATAATGAAAACTTTACAAAAATTTCTAAATTTTCATTATTTCACTGTTTCTGTATCATTTCTGTATCACCAGCAAATCCTGTATTTTGACTTTATGATGGGAAAATGCTATAACTTGAATATAACAAGGTGACCGGGAATTGTCATAGATACCATTTTGTTTTACCTACTGAGACCATAGTTAGCTTTCAAATCTTGAAATAAAATATATTTTTTGAATAAAGAAAAAACACTCAAATTAAAAATATTAGATTTCCAGATATTGTAAGATAAAAGCTGTTAATCAGAATATGAATTGTTTTGCTCATTCACTGTTTTCATGTTTCAAAAATATCAATAATATCAATAATAGAATACAACAAACTCGTTTTGACTTATAAACAATGTTTGAAATTGGAATCTGTCATTAATAACTGTATAGCAGTATCTATTGAAAATCTGATGAATTATTTATTTTTTATGTACATGTATTCACATTTTCATGATTAGATAAAATGTTGTAATTTCTAACATAAACAATTTTCATTATGTTTGCATTTATTTAAATTAACTGATCCATGAATACAGTGAAACCTGTTTAAACCTTACCCTGTGTAAACTGGATAGTTTTGTATTAAAACAAATCTTCATTGGAATTCTTCAGTAATTTAACCTGTGTAAACCAAACAACTGTTACATGCACAAATCTTCAGTCCTGAGAGTTTTCCAGAGTTATGAAACAAACTATTTAACTATAATTTTGTAATGTATAATTAAGAAATATATCATGGCAGCCGTAGATTTGTTTACATTTAGCCATGGGATGGGCATTTATATTCGATTATTTTTTCCCTAGTGATAGGGAGGGATAAAATACCAATATAAATGTGAATCCCATGGTTAGATATCAAATCTACAGATGCCATGAATTATTTTGATTCTAAAGGGACAAATATGGTAATTTTGTCATCCGTGAAAAGTAAAATAACAAAAATACCGAACTCCGAGGAAAATTCAAAACGGAAAGTCTGTAATCTAATGGCAAAATCAAAAGCTCAAACACATCAAATGAATGGATAACAACTGTCATATTCCTGACTTGGTACAGACATTTTCTTATGTAGAAAATGATTGATTAAACCTGGTTTTATAGCTAGCTAAACCTCTCACTTGCATGACAGTAGCATAAAATTCCATTATATTGACAACGATATGTGAACAAAAAAAACAGACATAATAGGTAAAAATGAAACAGGGCTTCCAAAAAACATTTGAGCCAGCCAGACATTTTTTGTGTGTCTTATCCCGATTTTAATCCCTTAAGACTTAGTAACAAAAGGCAACCATTGTAATCAGTTGGGCGGGCATCATATAAATTATGATTGACACAAAAACGATATTTAACTTGATTTTTTATATAAATTCGATGTTCTGGCGTTAACTGTTAAATTGACAGTGCACCATTCGAAGTGTGCAACATCAGCGTACTAATATCTGCCTTAGACTCTTTATTTGTGCAAAATTACACTGTCAATAACTTCACTTTCGGTTTTAAAAAGTACATATTCCTAATACTGGATGTTGACTTGACAATGGTAAAACACGGACCAGAGACGGATACGTAGAATCTGTGTACGTTTACAAAGCACAATTGAGTTTAAGTAGCTCTTTCCGCGTTATTTCTTCAGGAAAATACACCTTTCCATTTTCTACTGGTATGTCCCGCCCCCCTTAGCAACACATGGCAACCCAGCATCCTAGGTCAAGCTAATCAACAATATGGTGGTTATTATGAAAGTAAAGAATTTGTTATAACAAATATAAATAAGAGCAATATATTGTTCATATATTTGTTTTTGTGTTAAAGTATGATGAAATAGTTACTCCTGAAGAGTTGAGAGATAAATTTATGACATTTTGAAGAAATTATGTCTATTTATACTGAATAAAATTAAAATACTTTTGCAAATTTCAAGCTATTAAATTACCCTCATTCCCCAAAAATATAATCTAACAACTAGATATAGAATATAATATTGCATGATTGATAAGATAAATTACAGGTTTAATTAAGCATGGCCAATGAATGCTGATAAGTGTGTTTACTGTGTAGACAAACACAGCATGGGTCAACTTGTAAAACAAGCATCCTTGCTCCAGTAGCTATTAGATTATTTATCAAATAACATTTAACCGGTTTTCTTATTTTTATATCCATAGATAAATTATGATAATTAGAATTTTATCACTAAGTAAAAAATAAAGAAGAAAAGAAAATTAATTTATTATTTGCTTACATGCATATTTGGTCGTTGTAGTTCGTCTTTGTTTTAAATTTATATACAACTCTTGTCCTTAACAGGAATCTTTGCACATTGTACTCACCCTTTTTTCAAATAAAAAAAAAATAAAATATATCCGATACTTCTCACTTCCTTTCATTTTTTTTAATTCATACACAAAATTTGAAAAAGGTCAAGTACAATCAGCAAATACTCTCACAGTAGACCAAAGTCATATCAAAATTAAACATTATCTTACTTGTTATGAAGCATCTATTGAAATATATTTTATTATTATTATTTCAGTTTCCCCTCTGTCTTATAACAAAATGCTAGCGATGAGGACATTACAAACAAAAATACTTTCATTTTTATACATTTTGTTCACAAAACGACAACAAATATCTGATTCACTACATCATTCCATGCAGACTTTCAGATCAGTAATTCTTATTTCCATCTCATTCCAATGAGGTTGTATATAATTTTTCATCCAGATTAATTTTAAGGTGGGAAAACTTACATTATCTCTAAAACAATTTGATTGTTAAAGAACATGGAATAGTTCTTGTATAAATATTATACTGGTAAATTAAAATTTTGTATAAAATCTGTTAATCCAAAAGATGATCAATACCCTGAAGTTTTCAGTTTAAACTGCTTCCAAGTACAAATTTTTTAACATTTGAATAAAGTTAGGGATGAATTAATTGTTCTATGTAATTGAAATTGGAAAGGTGTCAATTATTTTGTTGCTGAATCTTTACTATATTATAATTGTAATTTCCAGAAATTTTACACACTAACTTGCATGTTTTATTGTATAAACTTTTAATGCAAAAAATAACAATTTCAACTCAGTTTGTACACCAATTGAAATCTTGTGTTTCAGAATATATATGTTTTTTTTATTTTTCAAAATAGCATGTAAACAATATTTCAAAAACAATAAGCACTGCCATTATATTCCTTTTTAATTGATTTATTAATAACTTTCATACATTGAAACAAATTTTTTATTGTTTCAAGTTGACAAATTGACCTTCCTCTACCCTCTAACATTGATTCCTTTGCCAAAAACAAACTCTGGACGATTTATTTGTGAAAATTTCAAGAAATGTTAGATCAAATTAACTGTTTGGATAAGAATGTTTGACCGAGGTTATGGCCGACAACACGTGCTGCTACCAAATGTTTACACATGTGGTAAATTTACCACATGTGATTGGTCAATTAACTGATGATTGACAGGAGAGTGGAAAGGTGTATACTTGAAATGAACGTTAGATAAAGGTATCAATGATATTTTTAGCATTTTTGAAAATTCTGATGAATAACTACATCTCACACCTGTGCAATGTGCGCCACAGTGTACTAGTTCAAACTACGTATTTCTGACGATTTTTCTATTGAAACCTTTATTACTACCTTTCTACATTTTCATCCAACCATATTTATATACGTTTTCTCATAATCTAAATTTTGTTGACTAAATTAATTAGCTGCAAACCGCTGAAATTTAAGAAAATAACTTTTATTAGACCGATCAATGTCCGTTACAAAATAGTTTACCTGTCGTCTCAACAGGTAAATTTCAGCTGTCAGAGAACTAGTTAACCTTGATTGTAATGAGAGGGTATTAAAGTAGGGTTTGTTTTGATAGTAATTATTCATCATGTCACTTATATGACGGGAAATGTGTGGCTGTTTAAGACAAAAGGTCAGGTCAAAAGATCGCATAAACTTCAATTTTTTTTCTGAACTATGTTAAAATGTCCATTTCAGCCTCGGCACAACAAGTCATATATATAATTTACTGGACTTGTCCGGACAATACGACCGTTTTGGAAGCCCTGCCGTGAAAGCACTATACACACGATATTGTTTTGGTTGTTCTGTTTCACCCACCTTATAATGATATTAATGGTATTATATTGTTCAATAATAAATAAAAAAAAATACACATTTTTCATTTAAAAATGTTCTTTTTATCTAATTTTATATTACATTCTGAGACGTACAAGTAGCATGAAAATGCCCGGTGTTTACATTTGACGCCGGAAGCATACATATGATGTCTCCTTGTTTATTTGCCAAAGTCGATAACACAATTTCGTGGAATTTTCGTTTTATGAAATTTGACACCAAAATAATATCTGAAATGGACTGATTTGTTTATATTGCATTTGAATTGAGATAACCGTATTGTATTTGAAGCTTTGCCTACATATAAAACGTGGGTTTTACTGTTGCTTATTGAGTTTACCTAGTTGTATAAATATGGTGGGTGTAATGCGGAACAGCCAATTTTGTTTATTAATGCGTTTGAGCCAAACGTAGATATACTGGTTGACGATATATAGGTCGTCATATTGGAGTATTTGTTTTCCCAGAAATTATTTGATGAATTAATTTTTATTTTTAGCTACAGCAGATGAGAGAAATAAAATTGATACCATAGTCAAAAGCGAACCTGTAGACCAGGAAATAAACATGGAACTAAACCTTATAGACAGTGTTCAACCAGAAGTGTTCAGTACAGACAAAGATGACTGGTCAGATTGGGAGGATGAGAATCAATCTCTTAATGATGATTGGTCAAATTCATCACATGATCGTGTGCCATCACCTTCAAATTCTAGTGTGACCAAAGAGACAACCCAGTCACTATCCTCAAATAAACATCATTCCCCCAATAGATTTCATCCTACTGATACAAGGACTGACTCCATGGGTTCAACAGATAATGACATTAATGACAATACAAGTAAACCCTCCAGCAAATCTAATCGTACATTTAAAAAATCTGGAATGTCATTAAAAGGGAAAGTAAAAACTATCAAGCCTCAAGCTAACAAACCTCTTGGTGCTGAATTTGATATTCATAATGTGGAGATAAAAGTTCAGGCTCAGAAGGAAGAGGATTTTTTTGCAGATATGATTCCTGAAATTAAACCAACTACTCCAAAAGAAAATTTGTCATTGAGTTTACCTAAAAGTCCAGTCAGTAGTAGTAAAACTGAGAAATCCTCCATGTTTGTTTATACAGAAGCTGAAGTTGACAAGGTAAGTATTCATTGTAATTTTTTCAGCCTATGAAATTTCAGACAGTAAATTTGTATCCTAATTGTTAAGAAAACCGGGTAATTATTCCATGTAAGTAAAAGGAGATATGGTACAATTACAAATGAGACAACTTTCCACCAGGACCAAAATGGATGTAAGCAACTACAGGTCACTGTACTGCCTTCAACAATGAGCAAAACCCAAACTGTACAGTCAGCTATAAAATTCCTAGACATGACAAAATATAAAACATTTCAAACTACAAAACAACAGCCTAATTTAGGCTAAATTAATAAACAAAAAACAAATATGACAGACAGCAACCAACAACAACCACTGAATTACACGCACTTGTCTTGGGAGAGCCACAAAATGAAATATGGTAGGCTTACACATGTTTGTGATCATGAGTATTCAACTCGATCCCTACCTTGGATAGTAGTGTAACAGCATTACACAACAAAATGTATAAATTAGTTGAAAATGGCTTGACTCATCAGTTTGGCACGAAGCACAAAAAACAACTAATAAAAAGACAAAGTACCTATCTAAGAGTATTCACAGTTACTGAAATCTAGTTTAAAGCAAATAACAACTAATGAATAAATCCTGTTTTCCCAGACTAAAATATAGCTATCACTATCACTTAAGGAAGCATTTAAAATCAGGTTCCAGAAACAGTGTTAAATGTCCCTAGTAAAACTGCATTTACAAACTTCAAATCTGGCAACTCTTGAACTACATCTGTTATTCCTTAAATGATGCAGATTTACAGGCTGTCAGTACTGACTGGTAAATGATGCAGGTATACAGGCTGTCAGTACTGACTGGTAAATGATGCAGGTTTACAGGCTGTCAGTACTGACTGGTAAATGATGCAGGTATACAGGCTGTCAGTACTGACTGGTAAATGATGCAGGTATACAGGCTGTCAGTACTGACTGGTAAATGATGCAGGTATACAGGCTGTCAGTACTGACTGGTAAATGATGCAGGTTTACAGGCTGTCAGTACTGACTGGTAAATGATGCAGGTATACAGGCTGTCAGTACTGACTGGTAAATGATGCAGGTTTACAGGCTGTCAGTACTGACTGGTAAATGATGCAGGTATACAGGCTATCAGTACTGACTGGTAAATGATGCAGGTATACAGGCTGTCAGTACTGACTGGTAAATGATGGCACAAAGTGTCTGTAAAGATTTATCCTGTTCAGAAACAATTTTCAAACTCTTGTTACTAGAAAGTGATCATCCATTCCATAGCTTGAAATTGTAAAATGTTCATATGATTTTATTTCATTTTATTAGGACACAAGTGCTAGTGGATGGGGTGATGATGATGGATGGGATGTGGAAGGATTTTAATGGAAATTTGTGGACAATTTGTAAACCATTTGCATAAATATTATGATTCATTGGATAAATTATCCTTATCCAAAATCTTTTGGTATCCAAATATTTTTGGTATCTTTTGGTATCCAAATATTTTTGGTATCTTTATGTATCCAAAATATTTTTGGTCTTGTGGTGTCAATAGCTGTTTGTGATACATTGTAAATTTTTATGTTACTAAAGGCAAATGTAGTCAGTCCAGGATGAGGGTTTGTTTGGGGTTTACAGAATAGAGAATAATGGGCAAAAGCTACAGAAAAATGGACCCAAAAAATAAAGAAGAGTGAATTATAGGGCAAAAGAATAAAGATGAGACAATTATAGGGCAAAAAAATAAAAAATAGAGAATTATAGGGTAAAAAAAATAAAGAAATAGAGACTAATGGGCTAAAACTATAAATAAGAGAGAAAAATTGCCTAAAAAAATGAAGAATACAGAAATGAAGGACCTCCCATCCAGACCCTCCAGAATGTTACTGCTCATTTTTGGTACATGTCTGTCATCTTTTATCCTCGTCATGTCACATTTAATAAGTATTATAGACTTTTTTGGTAAGTTAGTTTTACCTAAAAAAAGAGGCAGAAACTATTAAATCAAATCGTGAAAATTGATTGAACAAAAAGATTAAGAACTAATAAATCAAAAGATTTTACATGAGGTTTCTTATTCAAAACTGTCATTAAATTATCCAAATAAATGAATGAAGTATTCAAAGTGATTGAAATCACTAGTGGGAAAATTGACGAGTAGTTTGAATAATTTCAAATCATCATTAGATATATTATGGACAAAAAAAAACCTTGATATAGCACTATTGATGACAGTTGAATCAACTACAGTTCTTTAGAAGGATAAGCATTTTTTTAAGTGGATAAAATGAGCTAAATATTAGTCAATGACATTTGCACAATAATTTTGTTTAAATTTCATTTTCATTGTAGTTAAATAATGTTTCCTCGTTTCCTGTTTTGTGTATTCATCTTTAGAAACAGACGAAATTACCAAATAAAAATTCTTCTAAATTAAAATAAAGTTTATCAATTATTCTTGTAGAACATAAGACCTATGTATAGAGGGACTAGTGCACATTTTTATTTAGGGGCCAGCTGAGGACCACCTCCGGGTGCGGGATTTTCTCGCTGCGTTGAAGACCCATTGGTGGCCTTCGGCTGTTATCTGTTTTTTGGCCGGGTTGTTGTCTCTTTGACATATTCCCCATTTCCATTCTCAATTTTATAGAGGGAATGTAAATTAAGATCTTTGCCTCACAAAATCAACCTGGATAGAGTGTTTTTGGGGCATCAGAGGAATACTTTTTTTTCTCCTCTAAGGATTGCTTATTGTTATGGCTTACCCCATGAGATTACCATTATGTATTGACAGAGCATTTTGTTAAATAAGCAATCATTCAGTAAGTCAGTACTGTAAATTGGAATGTTCCAGAACTATTTAATGATTTTGTTCTTACTTTACACGGTAAATTAAGATAGCAGTAGTGTGATGCTGTGAATTTATTTTTCTGTGATATTTTTAAACTGTACAAGATACAAAGAGCATAATTTTTATGGGTTAATTAATATTCAATTAGTCATGGTTATCAGGTTTCATCCATTTTATGTGAGTCCGGGATTTTTTAAAGATTTGTTATGATGTTTAATTTCAACTATGAATAATTTTACATGAATAAGCTGCACAAAGAAAACGAAACTGTCATGATTTTTTCTCTCCCATCTTTACCAAAGCAAGTGAGGTTAGTGTTTGCAAATTAAGTTGAATTCTGTGGAGTCATTTATGTCTGTGGGTTCCTATTTTCATGGATAGCTGGAATATTGCTTTTTCCTGGATATTTAACTTTATGGTTTTGCCAAAATCTGCATACAAGCTTATAGAGAATTTGTACTTCGTTGAACATTGAAATTCATGGTTGACATATACCTATGAAATCCATGAAAATGGGTATTCTATGAATAATTATCCACAGTACATAGTTCTATCAGAATAAACTTGAAAGTAGATATTAAAGATTTTTTGTAAGATTGAAACAGTCATTCCAATGTCATCAGAAAAGTAATGTCCTGTGTAAGACAACTTTTTGTTAAGAATTTAAGTTCATAAATGATTGCAGTAAATGCATTTCAAACTCAAAGCCAAACTTTGTTTACTTCATTGATCTTAGCTGAGGAACTGTAGCTCTTATAGTTCTAATGAAAATTTTGGGATAATTTGCAGATCAAAGATCCAAAAAATAACAGAAGAACCACATGAGCTAGGGTTTCTGCTTCTAATTAGAACTAGAGAATGCAGGATTTTGAATAGGCAGCTTGTTATCACTATACTAAATATTAGCTTGCAGTTTTTCTGCATTTATGGATAAAAAGCAAAAACAATCATGCAGCTTTTGTGTAATAGAACAGCTTTTTTTATTTATTATTTATTTACACAAGAACTGTAGACGACATATGTGCCCTATATACATATACACACATGTTTATTGACAGTAAAAATATACTGAATGTTTTTAATGATACAAGAATTCAGCTCTGTAGAAGTGTTTAATTGTTAACCATACTAGATTGCTTATTATGGTAATATGGTCTTTTCAAAACTACGAGAGAAGGGTAAAACGGAAATAGATAATGTGTTCAGAATTCATTTAGTATGCACACACATTGTTTATATTAAGGTTCTGTTTTACATTCATACAGTTAGATTCTTATTCATTTGCATTTATTTCCTGTGTGTTCACATCTTAAGAGTGCTTTCTTAAATGGTACCTAATGCTTTAGAGAAAAACATTATATCCAGACAAAGAATGATGCACATAAGCTTAGTGTTTGAAGATGATTCTTTTTTTTCAATTGTATCATGACGAGTGACTTTAAGGACTTTTTTCCTTTCAGAATATCAATAATGAAAAAAACAACTTTTCCCATTAATTTTGACTCATCAAAAGACACTAACGTAAATACTTTTATTAAAATATCTTTTTTATAAATAGGACTTTATAGGTTTGCATGTAGTTAATAAATTTTAAAAAAAAACGGTAAGACCTTTATAGTTTATTTCCATACACAAAACTTTTGTGGATTTTTCCCACTTCTTGTTAAGAACTTTTGTTACTATATACTACAATACTTAAAAGATTTTATGATGTTATCACGAGGCAATATATTTTTCTCGGGAATTGTGCTATACATATTGTAGGTACTTTCTGTTCTTGTTAATAAATAGAGAATTATTCTAATTTGAGTGTGATAATTTACAGACTACACCATAACAGTATATTAGAAATAACTGTAAATTCTGAAATTTTAGTGCACATTTATTATTGCAATTGTTGCCTAACAAACAAAAATATGTAATTAATTTTTGCCATTTCAGGAAATGCTGCATAAAAATTTAAAGTGTAAATTTTTATTTTTTGGAAACCTATCTGGTCATAATTTTCACAATAATAAAAACATCGCAAAATTTTCTGAATTTACAGTAGCTGGTATATAAGATGAAAAAGGTAGTAAGAAAATACAGAGGATGCAATCAAAATTCATCACTCAATAAACACCAGGATTTAAGGAAAAAGCAACAAAATACAAACAACAACATGCAAAAAAACTACACAGAAACAAAAGGTTAAGTATCATAAACCTCACCAAAAACTGAATGAACTAAGTTCTCTTTCAGTGTAGACCAGTGGAATATTTAAACCATTACAAATGATTACTATTATCAACGTACAAAAGTAATGGTCGACACTTTACGCTTGAGACTGGCATGTCACAGGAATAGTCTCATTTGTTAAAAATGTGCACCGTACAAAACATAGCTTATAAGTGCCTCGTAAAAAATCTGTCAATACCTATATTTTGGCATTGCACAAGGTCATGTTTTTTTCTGACTGTTAATGACATCATCACCAAATCTATTGGAAATTGGATGTATACTGATAGATATTTTTTCAGTACTAACTGGAGTACTCTAAACTCAAATCTAAACTTGTGTCTTTTGTGTTTTTGTGCTTTGTAAGTATACTGATCTGATGAGTTCAGCCTATTACAATTAACTTTTATAGTATTTTCTTATTATGTTGTTCTGTTACACCACCGTCTCAGGTTAGGGGAGGATTGGTGAGCCACCTGCAAACATGATTAACCACACCACATTCTGTATGTGATTGTCTCAAGTCAAGAGCCTGTAATTAAGTTGTTGCGGTTTATCATATTTGTTTTTCGATTTTTTGTTTTGTACATAAATCAGGCCTTTAGTCTTCTCGTTTGAATTGTTTAACATTTGTCATTTAGGGGGCTTTTATAGCTTGCTGTGTGGTATGGGTTTTGCTCATTATTGAAGGCCGTAAGTTGACCTATAGTTGCTAACCTTCTATGTCATTTGGTCTCTGGTGGAGAGTTGTCTCATTGGCAATCATACCACATCTTGTTTTTATATATGTGTATAAAGTTTAAAGTTTCAAGCTGATGTAAGTAAAAAATCATGATGATCTACCTTAAACCAAACTAACCTACCCTTAACCTGATCAGTGAATCACAAAATCTAGTTCGAAACCCTACTGTAATTTGGCATCTTCTATTAAAGTTCACATCATAATGAACATGGTTATAAGTTTCAAGTTGTAGGGACAACAACTTCATGTTAAACCATCTTAAACCAGTGTTATAAGTTTCAAGTTGAAGTGACCACAACTTCATGGTAAACCATCTTAAACCAGTGTTATAAGTTTCAAGTTGAAGTGACCACAACTTCATGGTAAACCATCTTAAACCAGTGTTATAAGTTTCAAGTTGAAGTGACCACAACTTTATGGTAAACCATCTTAAACCAGTATTATAAGTTTCAAGTTGAAGTGACCACAACTTCATGGTAAACCATCTTAAACCAGTGTTATAAGTTTCAAGTTGAAGTGACCACAACTTCATGGTAAACCATCTTAAACCAGTGTTATAAGTTTCAAGTTGAAGTGACCACAACTTCATGGTAGCCATCTTAAACCAGTGTTATAAGTTTCAAGTTGAAGTGACCACAACTTTATGGTAAACCATCTTAAACCAGTGTTATAAGTTTTAAGTTGAAGTGACCACAACTTCATGGTAAACCATCTTAAACCATTGTTATAAGTTTCAAGTTGTAGGGACAACAACTTCATGTTAAACCATCTTAAACCAGTGTTATAAGTTTCAAGTTGAAGTGACCACAACTTCATGGTAAACCATCTTAAACCAGTGTTATAAGTTTCAAGTTGAAGTGACCACAACTTCATGGTAAACCATCTTAAACCAGTGTTATAAGTTTCAAGTTGAAGTGACCACAACTTCATGGTAAACCATCTTAAACCAGTGTTATAAGTTTCAATTTGTAGGGACAACAACTTCATGTTAAACCATCTTAAACCAGTGTTATAAGTTTCAAGTTGAAGTGACCACAACTTCATGGTAGCCATCTTAAACCAGTGTTATAAGTTTCAAGTTGAAGTGACCACAACTTTATGGTAAACCATCTTAAACCAGTGTTATAAGTTTCAAGTTGAAGTGACCACAACTTCATGGTAGCCATCTTAAACCAGTGTTATAAGTTTCAAGTTGAAGTGACCACAACTTTATGGTAAACCATCTTAAACCAGTGTTATAAGTTTCAAGTTGAAGTGACCACAACTTCATGGTAAACCATCTTAAACCAGTGTTATAAGTTTCAAGTTGAAGTGACCACAACTTCATGGTAAACCATCTTAAACCAGTGTTATAAGTTTCAAGTTGAAGTGACCACAACTTTATGGTAAACCATCTTAAACCAGTGTTATAAGTTTTAAGTTGAAGTGACCACAACTTCATGGTAAACCATCTTAAACCATTGTTATAAGTTTCAAGTTGTAGGGACAACAACTTCATGTTAAACCATCTTAAACCAGTGTTATAAGTTTCAAGTTGAAGTGACCACAACTTTATGGTAAACCATCTTAAACCAGTGTTATAAGTTTCAAGTTGAAGTGACCACAACTTCATGGTAAACCATCTTAAACCAGTGTAATGAGTTTTAAACTGAAGTGACCACAGCTTCATGGTAAATCATCTTAAACCAGTGTTATAAGTTTCAAGTTGAAGTGACCACAACTTCATGGTAAACCATCTTAAACCAGTGTTATAAGTTTCAAGTTGAAGTGACCACAACTTCATGGTAAACCATTTTAAACCAGTGTTATAAGTTTCAATTTGTAGGGACAACAGCTTCATGTTAAACCATCTTAAACCAGTGTTATAAGTTTCAAGTTGAAGTGACCACAACTTCATGGTAAACCATCTTAAACCAGTGTTATAAGTTTCAAGTTGAAGTGACCACAACTTCATGGTCAACCATCTTTAACCAGTGTTATAAGTTTCAAGTTGAAGTGACCACAACTTCATGGTAAACCATCTTAAACCAGTGTTATAAGTTTCAAGTTGAAGTGACCACAACTTTATGGTACTGTAAATTCAGAAATTATTGCGTGCATTTATTATTGCGATTTTTAAAGAATGGACTAAAATGCGAGATTTATTATTGCGATTTCAGGAAAATCTGCATACAGATTTTTGTATCAGATATCAGAATGCGAGTCCTTATTATTGCGATGATCACCAAGTCGCATTATTCGCATTAATAAAAACCTCGCAATAATTTCTGAATTTACAGTAAACCATCTTAAACCAGTATTATAAGTTTCAAGTTGAAGTGATCACAACTTCATGGTAGCCATCTTAAACCAGTGTTATAAGTTTCAAGTTGAAGTGACCACAACTTTATGGTAAACCATCTTAAACCAGTGTTATAAGTTTCAAGTTGAAGTGACCACAACTTCATGGTAAACCATTTTAAACCAGTGTTATAAGTTTCAAGTTGAAGTGACCACAACCTCATGGTAAACCATCTTTAACCAGTGTTATAAGTTTCAAGTTGAAGTGACCACAACTTCATGGTAAACCATCTTAAACCAGTGTTATAAGTTTCAAGTTGAAATGACCACAACTTCATGGTAAACCATCTTAAACCAGTGTAATGAGTTTCAAACTGAAGTGACCACAGCTTCATGGTAAATCATCTTAAACCAGTGTTATAAGTTTCAAGTTGAAGTGACCACAACTTCATGGTAAACCATCTTAAACCAGTGTTATAAGTTTCAAGTTGAAGTGACCATAACTTCATGGTAAACCATCTTAAACCAGTGTAATGAGTTTCAAACTGAAGTGACCACAGCTTTATGGTAAACCATCTTAAACCAGTGTAGTAAGTTTCAAGTTGATATGACCATCATGTTAGCTACCTTGAAAACCTTAAACTTTACACTGATACAGAGTGGACTGATTGTTACACAGACCACAAAACCGTTCTATAGAAGGCGGGGCATAAAATGACAATGATCACTATAAACTAGAAGTTGGAATACTATAAATATTTAGCCAAGATATTTATGTTCATTTAAAATGGAAGCTTTACTGGATTTGAAAAACATTAATTTTCATAGTTTGTTCTTATCTCGCACTGTTACACCACTGTCCCAGGTTAGGGGGAGGGTTTGGCACCAGCAAATATATTTAACCCCGCCACATTCTGTATGTGCCTGTCCCAAGTCAGGAGTCTATAATTCAGTGGTTGTCATTTCTTGCTGTCTATCATATTTGTTTTTTTGGTTAATTTTTTGTACATAAATCAGGCCGTTAGTTTTCTCGTTTGAATTGTTTTACATTTGTCATTTGGGGGCCTTTTATAGCTGACTATGCGGTATGGGTTTTGCTCATTGTTGAAGGCCATATGGTGACCTATAGTTGTAAATTTCTACATCATTTGGTTTCTGGTGGAGAGTTGTCTCATTGGCAATTATATACCCACATCTTCTTGTTTATATATATATATATATGGAAAATGTTGTTGTGCTGTATTTAGACCCCTCTACCAAGAAATTTGTTTTGCATGCACACGTATAAAAATTGCGGTTTTTATCCAACACATTCATAGGTTTGAACGTTGTTTTCAATTTAGACTTGTTTATATTTTTTCGTTTGGGCTTGTATTATATTTGCCTTCGGGTTTATATGATCCGTTCATCCTATTTCGACTCTTCAAAATTCAAGAGTCAATCCCAAATTGAGGTAAATTATATGGCCTTCCAAATACCGTTTCGATTCCTAACATCACTGAAGAGACATTAATTGTCGAAATCCGGATATGGTGTACAAATTTTTGCACCTCATGTTTGCGGTATACCATCTTTTCCGCAAGTTTTTTGTTTTGTATTTGGTATTAGATTAAAATTAAGATCCATTTTGTTACATCTGTGATCCGTTTATTTGGCAATCGCCATGGAAGTCAGCAGGGTTTAAGAACATCCGTTGTTCGACCTGCTAGTCAAATGTGTTTTGTTAAAATATACTTTTTCACTTTTTGGTCTTTTGGAAAATGTTGTTGTGCTGTATTTAGACCCCTCTACCAAGAAATTTGTTTTGCATGCACACGTATAAAAATTGAAGTTTTTATCCAACGCAATCATAGGTTTGAACGTTGTTTTCAATTTAGACTTGTATATATATATATATATATATATATATAAATTTTCAAAAATGTCTTGACACTATAACAAACTGTAACCTCTACCAGCAATACACTGAATCATGAAAGAAAAACACAAAGAACAATATATCAATAAAGTAATACTAATAAATACAATAAAATGCAAAATAGAACATTTTTTTTTTTATTTTTGCATACATGTATATATCAATACCAAAGCAGTTACAATATCAATAGTATTTTAGTGTTGTGCAGTACGTATAAAATTGACTCTGACAAACAGATAAAGCACTGAACAGTGATTGAACATTGGTGCTACATGTTCCAAGAACTATTTCAGACATTGTTGGCTTTGTGAAGTTCTGATGAAAAGCTAGGTATTTATTATGATGTCTACTTAAATGTTTGCCAGATTTCATCCTTCTGCTGGACTGTATGGTAAAAGGCTACCAAATAGAAAGTGCTGGATGACAGGCCACTTGGCTAAAACCTAAAAATAGAATAATTGATGAGAAAATTAATTAAGATCACTACATGCACATTGTTGCTTTGTTTAAATTTTCCAGAAAAGTAATATAGGTATTCCCGTTTGAATGGTTTTACACTAGTAATTTTTGGGGCCCTTTATAGCTTGCTGTTCGGTGTGAGCCAAGGCTCCGTGTTGAAGACCGTGCTTTGACCTATAATGACTTGGATGGAGAGTTGTCTCATTGGCACTCATACCACATCTTCTTATATCTATATAGATTTTGTTTGTACCTTTGAATAAAGACAACAGGTTTTCTCCAAGTATTTTAATAATTTAAAACTTGTTTCATTTGTAGAAATGTGCGTCAATGAATTAAAGTTCAAACATTTTTTAATGTTGTCATCATGAGTTATAAGAAGTTGCACTATATTTTAGTTTCATTCAAAATAAGAAATGAGATACTGAAATTCATACTGTGCTCTGTTTTCGTTAAATAGACAAACCTAATAATTTTTTTTCATAGAAAAATGTTAGCAATAAAATCGAGAATAGAAACGGGAAAGTTTCAAAGAGACAACAACTCGACCAATGAGCAGAAAACAGCTCAAGGCCACCAATGGGTCTTCAACACAGCAAGAAAATCCCGCACCCAGAGGCGGGCTTTAGCTGGCCCCTGAACAAAAATGTGTACTGGTTCAGAGAAAATGCACGTCACAATAAACTTCGAAACATAAATGAACCAAAATTAAATGAAAAACATACAAGAATAACAAAGGCCAGAGGCTCCTGAATTGGGACAGGCGCAAAAACGTGGCGGGGTTAAACATGTTTTGTGAGATCTCAACCCTCCCCCTATACCTCTAGCCAATGTAGAATAAACAAACACATGGCAATACGCCGCGTAAAACTCAGTTTAAAAGAAGTCTGAGTCCGATGTTAGAATAGGTAACAGAATAAACTAAGCAAAATGACAATGATCAACCTAAATTAACAAAGAATGTTTTTGTGTCGCCTGCGATAAAGTTGCAGAAGCAAGACCCAGGACTGCTGTTTCTGGCATCTGCAGTCAGCAAATCTGTTTTTGTCTCACATATGACAGTAGCAGAAGGGAGACTTAGAGGTGCCACTGCAGCTTTTATAATTTTTAATTAATGGCTGTAGGTTTTTAGACGGTGGCTTTCCAGTTGGAAATTGTGCCCTAATTAATTTATGTGAGCATGGCCTATTTATAGCTATGGGTCAGTTTAAGGTGAACCTCTGATTTTGAAACTTTTGCCATAGTATCGAAATTACACACAGGAGAGACAAATCTCTGTCTTAACAGTTTAATGATCTTATTTAACTAAGCGTTTTGCATTTATTTCGTTATTCAACCTATATCCTACCTCAGCTTTATACATTTTGATAAGACCTGAATTTACTTTTTCCCAGTGAGGAACTGCACTTATATTCCACAGTTGATTGGAATGCTCAGCAAATGGACCAGTCTTTACCTATAAAAAGATAATACAATGTAATGATTTCCTATCATTTCTATAAACCTATCATTAAAAAAACAAACAACCATTAACTGTAATGTAACTAAATAAATCCAAACTTGTATTACATGTGGTAACAATTTTTTTCATTTCAATATATTTCAGTTTAAACCGTATTGGAACCTTATTAACTAGACAGACAATATTACTTTTTATAGGATTTTTCTTTGTGATAGTGTAGTCTTTAAGAAAGGAAAATTAAGATTTAACAAAAAGAACACAAGAACTACTATGAGGGGGTGAAACAGGGGTGCTCATTTCCCAAATCCCGCTTTTTTTAATAATTGTTTTCCTTCTCCCCACTTTTTTTCCTTATTTCTCCCAGATCCCCCCTTTTTAACTCCTATGTTCCAAATCCCTATTTTTTTTTAACCCTTTAATATCCCACGTACCCACTTTTTTTTACCCTTTAATATCCCACCTACCCACTTTTTTTACCCTTTAATATCCCACCTACCCACTTTTTTACCCTTTAATATCCCACCTACCCACTTTTTTAACCTTTAATATCCCACCTACCTACTTTTTTTACCCTTTAATATCCCACGTACCCACTTTTTTTACCTTTTAATATCCCACCTACCCACTTTTTTTTACCCTTTAATATCCCACGTACCCACTTTTTTACCCTTTAATATCCCAAGTACCCACTTTTTTTACCCTTTAATATCCCACATACCCACTTTTATTACCCTTTAATATCCCAAGTACCCACTTTTTTACCCTATAGTATCCCACCTACCCACTTTTTTTACCCTTTAATATCCCACCTACCCACTTTTTTTACCCTTTAATATCCCACCTACCTACTTTTTAACCCTTTAATATCCCAAGTACCCACTTTTTTACCCTATAGTATCCCACCTACCCACTTTTTTTACCCTTTAATATCCCACCTACCCACTTTTTTTACCCTTTAATATCCCAAGTACCCACTTTTTTACCCTATAATATCCCAAGTACCCACTTTTTTTACCCTTTAATATCCCACGTACCCACTTTTATTACCCTTTAATATCCCAAGTACCCACTTTTTTACCCTATAGTATCCCACCTACCCACTTTTTTTACCCTTGAATATCCCACCTACCCACTTTTTTTACCCTTTAATATCCCACCTACCTACTTTTTTACCCTTTAATATCCCACGTACCCACTTTTTTTACCCTTTAATATCCCACCTACCCACTTTTTTTACCCTTTAATATCCCACCTACCCACTTTTTTTACCCTTTAATATCCCACGTACCCACTTTTATTACCCTTTAATATCCCAAGTACCCACTTTTTTACCCTATAGTATCCCACCTACCCACTTTTTTTACCCTTGAATATCCCACCTACCCACTTTTTTTACCCTTTAATATCCCACCTACCTACTTTTTTACCCTTTAATATCCCACGTACCCACTTTTTTTACCCTTTAATATCCCACCTACCCACTTTTTTTACCCTTTAATATCCCACCTACCCACTTTTTTTACCTTTTAATATCCCACCTACCCACTTTTTTTTACCCTTTAATATCCCACCTACCTACTTTTTTACCCTTTAATATCCCACGTACCCACTTTTTTTACCCTTTAATATCCCACCTACCCACTTTTTTTACCCTTTAATATCCCAAGTACCCACTTTTTTTACCCTTTAATATCCCACATACCCACTTTTATTACCCTTTAATATCCCAAGTACCCACTTTTTTACCCTATAGTATCCCACCTACCCACTTTTTTTACCCTTGAATATCCCACCTACCCACTTTTTTTACCCTTTAATATCCCACCTACCCACTTTTTTTACCCTTTAATATCCCACCTACCTACTTTTTTACCCTTTAATATCCCAACTACCCACTTTTTTACCCTATAGTATCCCACCTACCCACTTTTTTTACCCTTTAATATCCCAAGTACCCACTTTTTTTACCCTTTAATATCCCAAGTACCCACTTTTTTTACCCTTTAATATCCCACATACCCACTTTTATTACCCTTTAATATCCCAAGTACCCACTTTTTTACCCTATAGTATCCCACCTACCCACTTTTTTTACCCTTTAATATCCCACCTACCCACTTTTTTTACCCTTTAATATCCCACCTACCTACTTTTTTACCCTTTAATATCCCAACTACCCACTTTTTTACCCTATAGTATCCCACCTACCCACTTTTTTTACCCTTTAATATCCCACCTACCCACTTTTTTTACCCTTTAATATCCCAAGTACCCACTTTTTTACCCTATAATATCCCAAGTACCCACTTTTTTTACCCTTTAATATCCCACGTACCCACTTTTATTACCCTTTAATATCCCAAGTACCCACTTTTTTACCCTATAGTATCCCACCTACCCACTTTTTTTACCCTTGAATATCCCACCTACCCACTTTTTTTACCCTTTAATATCCCACCTACCTACTTTTTTACCCTTTAATATCCCACCTACCCACTTTTTTTACCCTTTAATATCCCACCTACCTACTTTTTTACCCTTTAATATCCCACGTACCCACTTTTTTTACCCTTTAATATCCCACCTACCCACTTTTTTTACCCTTTAATATCCCACCTACCCACTTTTTTTACCCTTTAATATCCCACGTACCCACTTTTATTACCCTTTAATATCCCAAGTACCCACTTTTTTACCCTATAGTATCCCACCTACCCACTTTTTTTACCCTTGAATATCCCACCTACCCACTTTTTTTACCCTTTAATATCCCACCTACCTACTTTTTTACCCTTTAATATCCCACGTACCCACTTTTTTTACCCTTTAATATCCCACCTACCCACTTTTTTTACCCTTTAATATCCCACCTACCCACTTTTTTTACCCTTTAATATCCCACGTACCCACTTTTATTACCCTTTAATATCCCAAGTACCCACTTTTTTACCCTATAGTATCCCACCTACCCACTTTTTTTACCCTTGAATATCCCACCTACCCACTTTTTTTACCCTTTAATATCCCACCTACCTACTTTTTTACCCTTTAATATCCCACGTACCCACTTTTTTTACCCTTTAATATCCCACCTACCCACTTTTTTTACCCTTGAATATCCCACCTACCCACTTTTTTTACCCTTTAATATCCCACCTACCTACTTTTTTACCCTTTAATATCCCACGTACCCACTTTTTTTACCCTTTAATATCCCACGTACCCATTTTTTTTTACCCTTTAATATCCCACGTACCTACTTTTTTTACCCTTTTATATCCGAGGTACCCACTTTTTTTACCCTTTAATATCCCACATACCCACTTTTTTTACCCTTTAATATCCCACGTACCCACTTTTATTACCCTTTAATATCCCAAGTACCCACTTTTTTACCCTTTAATATCCCACCTACCCACTTTTTTGACCCTTTAATATCCCACGTACCCATTTTTTTTTACCCTTTAATATCCCACGTACCTACTTTTTTTACCCTTTTATATCCGAGGTACCCACTTTTTTAACCCTTTAATATCCCACATACCCACTTTTTTTACCCTTTAATATCCCACGTACCCACTTTTTTTAACCTTTAATATCCCACCTACCCACTTTTTTTACCCTTTAATATCCCACATACCTACTTTTTTACCCTATAATATCCCACCTACCCACTTTTTTACCCTTTAATATCCCACCTACCCACTTTTTTACCCTTTAATATCCCACCTACCCACTTTTTTTACCCTTTAATATCCCACGTACCCACTTTTTTTACCTTTAAATATCCCACATACCCACTTTTTTTACCCTTTAATATCCCATGTACCCACTTTTATTACCCTTTAATATCCCACATAACCACTTTTTTTACCCTTTAATATCCCAAGTACCCACTTTTTATACGACCGCAAAAAAATTTTGTGGTCGTATATTGGTATGACGTTGGCGTCGTCGTCGTCGTCGTCGTCGTCGTCCGGCGTCGTCGTCGTCCGGCGTCGTCGTCCGAATACACACTGGTTTTCGCACTCTAACTTTAGTTTAAGTGAATGGATCTTTTTGAAATTTGACCATAAGGTTAAATACCACAAAAGGAAGGTTGGGATTGATTTTGGGGGTTATTGTACCAACAGTTAAGGAATTAGGGGCCAAAAAGGGGCCAAAAATAAGCATTTTCTAGTTTCCAGACAATAACTGTGGAACAGTGTATGGATCTCTCTGATATTATACTACAAGTTTCCATACCACAAAGGGATTGTTAGGATTTGCTTTGGGGGGTTATGGCTCAAACCGTTTAGGAATTAGGGGCAAAAAAGGGGGAAAAACAAGGTTGTCCTGGTTAATGGACAAATACTTTAGTACAAAACATAATTTAAAGCAGTGTAAGGGAGATAAATCAAATATTCATCATTGAAATTATCTCCCTTACACTGCTTTAAAATTATGAATAAAGTAATGGTTAATGAACAATAAAGATAATTTAAAACAGTGTAAGGGAGGTAATCCAAATACAACGTTTTGGTTACTTCCCTTACACTGCTTTTAAATTATGTTTAAAGAAATGCATATTTATAAAGGAAGACCAGTAAAAATATCTGCAAATGTTGCATCTTTTTTTTTTACAAAAAAATCCATATGAAAGATTTGACACTATATTTTTAATTCTATTATAAAATAGATTAAGTTAGCACTATGGTAAATTTAAATGGGTAATTATGGTTGCCAACTCCATTGGAAATTTGAATTGAGATTATGACCATATCTTGAGGGAAAGATTTTTTTTGGGGAAAAAAGGGGGGGGGGGGGATAAAAAGAAATTGTGGGGGGTCAATTTTTTCTTATTTCAGATTTCAGAAATTAAAAAGAATTATTCTTCAAATATTATTTTTTTTTCAAATTTCAAGAAGTAATCTTTAATTGCACAGTATGGCGCATTAGATTTGTAAAATCTTTGATCACATTTATTTATTTGTTATGCCGAATCTAACAGTGTA